ACAGAGTTATTATCCAAATGCTGTTGGATATTTTTCTGGATATCCCTCGAAGCGCTAGAATCATTTCCTGTACCATAGATTTCCCTTTGCCATTGTAGATTTTGTGTTAAATGATTCTTCTGTTCCATCAGAGCAGCTGAGTTTGGATTGGAAGCAGCCTTCCAGTCACCAAGTCTATCATCAATGTCCTCATTCTTTCCAATAGAACACGAATTATTCTGATCAATACCAGAACTTAAAGAATGAAACATATTTCCAGCCATTTGACTCTGTTGAGTCATTGTCTTCTCCAACAGGCCATGATCTGAAACCATATTTCCTTTGTCTTGCAAATGTTGAACAGTTGATCGAGTTGAATCACTATTGAGACCAGACTCCTGGGCCCTATTACCAATACGAGAATCTGCATGTGGGGCAGTAATGTTGTTAGCCCATACAGATTGCTGTTTACTACCCCATTCATGTACGCCTGCGTCATCACTGGATGTTTCTGCTACAGCAGATTGCATAAGAGCACTCCAACTCCCACTTTGCAAAGAGGGGCAAGCATCAAAAAGGTCAGAACTACTAGACATAAGATTTCCTGTCAAGCTCATATCAGTGCTGTTTCCAAATGCCTCCCACAAATTGTCATCCGAACCAAACAAAATCTTTTCCTCTGTTGGATCTAATGTTGTCGACTTCTGCAATGTATTTATATTTTCAGGCACTTTCATAAATGATTTTTCTGATAGACCAGAACCCTCCATTTGACCAAATTCCTCTTGCCCTGAAATGTTCTGCTGACCGGAATTATCTTGCTGAAAACTTCCAACATTATTTGAACCTGGAACTGATGATAAATGGGAGAACAGATTCTCCTGGTATGTGGATCTAGGGAGCATATGACTGTCCTGTACGTCATCTTGATTCAGAAATGACGCTGGCTGATTAGTGAGAGAGGAACTCATGTTTGCAGAACCATGCTGTGCAGCTAACATGTTCATCTGAACAGAAGAAAAGGCATTTTGAGGTGCATCTGTCCCACCAACTGGCATACCGTACAAGGAAGTTTCAAATTGTTGTGCCATTAAGTTTGCATGTCCATGCTCAGGGGTAATCACGAGCCCACTGGATGAACTTTGAACAATTGGGGAGATGCCGCGATGCATCCAGTTTGTATTTCCTGTCATAAGATCTGGCTGCAACCAATTATTAGACGCATCCTGTAGAGGGACACCACTAATCGAAGGATGTGATTGGCTATCACTTGAGCGACTTCCATTGACTGCGTTTGAATTAAAAGAATTGAGATGCCTGGCCTCTAGCTGTTGCTTTTGAAGTTGTTGTTGCATTTGATATTCATGCATTTGCTTAACCATAGCGTGTTGCTTTAGTAGTTGCATATCATTGAATGTCATCTGCTGCCTTGGAAAAGGTTGGAGCATGCCAGGGAGCTGATTGTTTAATTGTTGTTGACCACCAAAGAAATCATAGTTAACCGGAGATTCTCCCATATCAAATCTCATAGGAGTTTTATGACGGTCTGGAGATGCCTGCAACATAAGGTTTCCATGCATATAACCATTTATGGATTGCTGGTGTTCTCGCAATACACTTCTGGAATAATCAGACCTCATAGGCTGCTGAGTAAAATTCAAACCATGCTGTGAATTTGAAGATTGTCCTCTCTCAGGATCAACTGGAATAAGCAAAAAGGCTATGTTTAAACTCTTGACAACCAAAGCATCATCCAGCATACTAAGCTCTAAGCTATGAATGGAACATATATGTAGAGCATAAGTTGGGGAAGCTCCAATCATAAGGAGACAAAATCCATACCAGATTGTTGTGTACTATAAGTCTTCAGATTGGCATTAAGTGATGGGTCAATCAGCCTCTGGTTGCTGACTAGACCATTACTAAAACCGGACCAGCTTCCATCTCCAGCCTGAGGCTGATGCTGGTTGTCTTGGGATAGGCCCTCCTGTCCAAAGAAATTGTGGATCCTCTCTCCAAATTCGTTTCCAGGCATAGATTCAGCTCCGATAAATTCTTATAAATATCTGGACCTCGAAAAGAAACAGAAAAGAGTTAAAGATTGACTCTCCTAATCTTATATTCAAATGTAAAAAAATAGGAACATTTTAAACACCTTTTCCCCCCGAGAATTCATGAGGTACTTGCAACTAAGATGCTCCGAAATCCGAATTCTCAAGATTTTCCTGTTAAACAAACAAAACAGATACTGCACATTTAAAGTTGAACACACAAAGTGAAACAAAACCAGTAGATACAATTGGTTCAAAAGAAAGCTACAGCAAATGGGCAAGATCCTCGATAGAAACCCCTATCCCGACGTCTAAGAACCACTAAGCCAAAGCCTAAGCTCCACTCAGCTTCTGAAACTATAAGAAACTCAAGATCCACCTATTCCAGTAAACTCAAGAGCTCATTTGCAGTAAATGTAATCAAGTTCCTTAAACAATAAACCAGCTAAATTCCCATTTCACCGCTATAAACCAGCTGAAAATTAAGCTCATATAGAAAATTTAGAGAATTTATTGGAAATCTCGCGAACCCACTTGAGACCAAAATTGCTGCAACACAATTTCACCTGAAATCGAAGCTCTAGTTGACATGAACATTACCATAACGAGAACCTTCCAGACTTTAATCCTACCGACACACTCCACCAATTGGGAATTTAAACGAAAAAAAAAAGATAGGGTTTCAGCAATGGGAAAGAGAGATGTGAACTTACACTTGTATGACGTTTAGCCGTAAAACAACTGGAAATTGGCTTCTCCGACCTCAATTTCTAAGAATAAAGTTAGGGTTTTTTCTGAATCCAAGAATTAACGAAATCAGGGGGAGAGAGAGAGAGAGAGAGAGAGAGATAAAGTGATCGAGTGAGCAAACTCGAGGTTCAGGTTCGGGTCCAAAGCAGATGACTCGAAGATCGAAACTCTCTACCAGAGACGGAGGATTTAGACGAGAGTTGTTGTACTGTGGGCCAGTGATGATAAGCCCATTATAGAGCCGAACCCACCTAAACGTATTCGTGCGTTTCAACGTCATTAAATTGCAATGAGATAGCCAGATTTTATCTTCGTTAAGATATGGTGGTTTCACATTTTTTTTTAATTTTTTCCAATAGCATGCACTACGTGGTTTAGAATTCAGTAGTAACGAATACTATCTTCTTTAGATAGCTAGGGATTATTCATAAAAATGCATTACAAAATTCAGATATCCTTTGTTTACCAGAAAGTCGAAACAAGAGGTGATGTGATACTATACTTGCTGGGGTTTTTGTACTAAGACACTTATCTTTACTAAAGTATACACATGGATTTAACTTACAACGTTATGGTGATGCATACAGTAATGCTACATATTTAGAAGAAAATCTCCGGCTTTTCGACAAATGGAGGCCTTCACTGATCTCAGGGTTCCGACCAACTAACTCGTGCCCACCCAAAAAAAATTGAAACATTTGGGGCAAAAGATATATATGAAAGCAATGAATGGGGAAGATTGGCCAAAAAGTGGAAAATTTATGGATTCATCATTGGTTAGAGCGAGAGACATTGTACCCTGTCTGGAATATTCTGAGGCATTGGAGCTATCGTAACATATCTTTGTGGGTTTAACCTAAGTGAATTCACCGTCCGGTCCATAGATGAGGATGGTGGGTGGAACTTTGCAAAACGATTGATCACTGCAAACTTCTCTAGATCCTGGACTTCAACTCTCAAGTCTGGAATTGTAGTTCCATTTTCTAACCTGCAAGAAGAACCAGATGTTCATGAATGAGATCAAACCAGCCCAGATGAATAGCCATTTCAAACTGGAATCAATTACAAGAGAGAGCTACGGTTTATACCTGGCAAAGTCAGTCTCTAGTTTCCGTGTTCTACTAATGAAATCTTCAGCTGCTTTGGAGATGTACTGGTCACTGATTTTCTCAGTTTTCGTTCTCTCAGACAACCTACACAAGAGTGGGTCGCTTCGTGTCAATATAAAACCACAAACTCTACAAAAATCTCCAGCATTTAACGGACAAACAGAAAATATCCTTACGGGTTTGAATTGTTCGGGGGCGAATAGCCCTCACTCCTGTCGGTACAACTGGAGCTACATGCATCTCCTAGTGCACCTCTTGCAGTAGTATATGCAACAAACTCATAATTTGAGCTGGCAACCAAAGATATCACCCTAGCCGGAGGCGGATTAAATAGTTGTTGCATGAGATGTGTTGTATATATAAGCCTTCTCTTTGATTTGATTGGTGGGCCATCCTCAAGTAAAGTCTCAAATTCCACCTGTGATATAACAAAAGCCATCAACGTATTAACAAGATTGTACAAAGAGACTAGTGAGAAAACATGTAATGAGGAAACTCACTTTTTCAGCAAATCGATTGGTTGCTCTGGCCCAATCAACTTCAGCCTCACTGTAAAGAATATAGCAAGTTAGATACGGTAAAGGATATGGAAAAAGAAGGAATATTAGTGCTTATAAGCCACACATACCCGAGAGTCTTAAGCCTCTGGTGACCCTGCATGAATTCTTTATTCCAAGGTAGAAGTTCTGATGTGGCGGTTTTGCGCTTCTTTGGTTTATTAACCTTCAGAAGTTGTTCAGTAGCACCATGAGGCAATGACTCAGATGAGGGAATATCTGCTCCTAGTGTGGAGCCTGATATTTGCTGCATATTAAAGTGCTGTGGCGATTGAACAGAGTATGTGCCATCAACTGAACTCCCAACATTAGACGATTGTTCTCCTATCTTTAAGGGGGTGAATCTCCCTGTATCATTCACAGGTTGCACCAGTCCATTCTTGAAAGTCCCATATTGACTATACCAGGATGGAGCCATCTGAGGACTGATTTGTTGATGATCTGCTCCAGCTGAGGCTGAATGATTCTTAGTGGAGAAACTCTGAGAAACATTTTGGCCAAAATACGGTATTTGGTTCGCTGATTCCCTGTGATTCAATCCATCTCTAACTAAACCATCAGATCTTGAAGGTGATTGTTGCTCCCCTTTGGGAGCTACCTTTTGAGGATCAATAGCACTATTCTCAACTCTCTTCACAGTCATCTTGGGTGCATCGCCCTCCCCACTTCCAGCCATTTGTTCATCGTGATGTAAGCTATCCTTTGGAAGGTTGTTTGAAGGAAGAGAGCGATCAAAGGATTGATGATTGCTCTGCACCATTTTGGAGAACATTGAAGCAACATTAGATGTCTGTTTTACAACCATATCTTTACTCTGTAACCCATGCATATTCACCATGTCCCTCCCACTTAATGACACGTCTCCATTTTGGGAGGATAATTGATTTGTCTTCTCCTGCCTTGAGAAGCTACCTGCCATGTTGTTGCTGGGCAATGGATGCGGCCGTAAAAGATCTGGCTGAGGCTTAAATGGCTGGTTCCAAAACCGATGTTGCGGTGCTGAAATATCGGCTGGTGAGTCAGACATCATACCAGAAGAGGAACTTTGCTGAGGCGAGCTGGATGCAACCAGAGGCTGAGAAGCAGACAGCATACGAAATCCTTCAGCTGAATCTCCTTTTTTGTTGTGTGCTGAATGTCCACGTTGATCAAAGTCACTACGTTCATCTCTTTCTTTCACTTGAGGGGTAGACAACTCAGAAGATGAATTGCCTGAATTATTAGCAGCTGATTGTCGGGTAGCAACAGGCATCTGTTGATTTTGGTGATACCCTCTGGAATAAGGGAAACCAGAGGTCATGCTGGATCCTCCTAGGATTCCAGGAAATGGTCCTTGATGAGTGGATTGCTGAAAAGATTGATTAGATGCCCACGGAGCAAACCTGGACTGACTTGTTCCTCCTTTTTCAGGGCCAGTATGAAATGAATTTAATGGCTGCAAAGAATTCTGAGAAAATTGCACGTTATCAGGTGAGGGAGCTAGTTGAGATGGAGGTGCCAACTGTAAATTAAACCCCTGAGAAGCATATGACTGATTATGCCGAAATTGACCACCATAGTCTGCAGAGGTATTTGCTTCAGGAATCCCAGAAACATTTGTTTCCGGGGAATTCTCCGGCGACTGGTCCACCTTGTGAAGAAGCTCAAGCCTGCACAGAAAATTTCTTTCAGAAAGACAATTGCAAAGCATAAATTACAAATATTCCAAGCAATTGGGGTTAAAAACGAGTTGATGACCACAGTAAGAAATTACATCTCAATGAAATTTAATGAGTTTTAGGTGACACAAAGTTGCCTGACAAGATATCTATAAAAAGGTCACACTAAATAAATAAATTCACAATGACCAGTACCTTGACGAAGCACTATTCACTTGATTACACCTGTCGGCTGACGCAGAAGTACTAGGTGAATTTTCTGAACCATGTCCCTACCAAAATGAAAGCCAAAAGAATGTTCAGACGGATTCAAATTTCTAAACCATAATAAAAACCAAAGGATATAATTTACCTTGTCAATCAGAATGTTCATAGCAGGCTGACCTAGAGAGTTTGACTGCCCAAAATGAGAAAATTTTCCTCGACAAGGCTCATCAGTGACATCAATATTACCCATGGGATGATACTGAAATTTGCGAGGTATCGACGGCCTACTACCGACAAGACCAGATTGTGTGTCTTTTCCGCCAGGCAACATAGAAAAATCACGGGCATTTACCATTTCATTTGATCGTGCATTATTACTCGAATATGACTCGAGAATCTGACTGCCGTCTCTAGAATTCAGATGAGGGATAGCCTTCTCCACAGAGTTATTATCCAAATGTTGTTGGATATTTCCCTGGACATGCCTAGAATCGTTTCCTGCACCAGCACTGCCAAATCCATAGCTTATCCTTTGCATTTTAGGAGTTTGTTCCTTCAGAGCAACTAAATTTGGATTAGACGCAGCCTTCCAGATACCAAGTCTATCCTCAACGCCCTCATTCTTTCTAATAGAACACGAATTATTCTGCCCATCGATTCGTTGAGCCATTGAATTTTCCAACAGGCCATTATCTGAAACTCTATTTCCTCTGTTTTGCAAATGTTGAACAGCTGTCTGAGTGGAATCACTGTGGACTCTCCCGCTTAGTGTATTTGAAGTCTTTTCACCCAAATCCTGGCCCCTATTACCAAGATGAGAATTTGCATGTGGGCCAGTACTTTTGTTAGCCCATTCATGTACGCCTGCGTCATCACTGGATGTTTCTGCTACAGCAGATTGCATAAGAGCACTCCAACTCCCACTTTGCAAAGAGGGGCATGCATCAAAAAGGTCAGAACTACTGGACATAAGATTTCCTGTCAAGCTCATATCAGTGCTGTTTCCAAATGCCTCCCACAAATTGTCATCCGAACCAAACAAAATCTTTTCCTCTGTTGGATCTAATGTTGTCGATTTCTGCACTGCATTTATATTTTCAGGCACTTTCATAAATGATTTTTCTGATGGACCAGAACCCTCCATCTGACCAAATTTCGCCTGGACTGAAATGTTCCTTTCACGGGAATTATCTTGCTGTAAACTATCAAAGTTGGGCATACTATTTGAACTTGGACCTGATGTCTGGGAGAACAATAATTTCTCCTGGTATGTGGATCTAGGGAGCATATGACTATCCTGTACATCACCTTGATTCAGATATGAAGTAGGTTGATTAGTGACAGAGGAAATCCTGTTTGCAGAACCATGCTGCGCAGCTAACCTGTTCATCTGGCTGGAAGAAAAGGCATTGTGAGGTGCATTAGTCCCACTAACAGGCATACCGTACAAGGAAGGTTCAAATTGTTGAGCCATTAAGTTCGCCTGCCCATGCTCAGAGGTAATCATGAGCCCAGTGGATGAACCTTGAACAACTGGAGATATGCCGCGATGCATCCAGTTTGTATTTCCTGTCATGAGATCTGGCTGCAACCAGTTACTAGACGCATCCTGAAGAGGGATGCCATTAATCATATGTGATTGGTTATCACTTGAGCGACTTCCATTGACTGCATTTGAATTCAAAGAATTGAGCTGCCTGGCTTCTAGCTGTTGCTTTTGAAGTTGTTGTTGCATTTGATATTCATGTATTTGCTTAACCATAACTTGCTGCTTCATTAGTTGCATGTCATTGAAGGTCATCTGCTGCCTTGGCAAAGGGAGCTGTGTATTTGATTGTTGTTGACCACCAAAGAAATCATAATTAACCGGAGATTCTCCCATCTCAAACCTCGTAGGAAATTCATGAAGGTCTGGAGTGAATCCTCTCGCTGACAACCTATCCCTACTCGATTCTACATCCATTCCCAAAAAATTTGCCTCATTCGGCATCGTCTGCAACCCAATGTTGCCACGCATGTAACCATTTGTGGGTTGCTGGGGTTCTTGTAATACAGTTCTGGAGTACTCAGGCCTCATAGGCTGCTGAGTAAAATTTAAACCATGCTGTGAAGTTGAAGATTGCCCTCTCTCAGGATCAACTGGAATAAGCAAAAAAGGCTATGTTTAAAAGCTACCAACCAGAGCATCATCCAGCATACTAAGCTCTAAGCCATGAATGAAACATATATGTAGAGCATAAGTTGGGAATTCCCCGTCATAAGGAGACAAAATCCATACCAGATTGTTGTGTGCTATAACTCTTCAGATTGGCAATAAGGGATGGGTCTATCTGCCTCTGGTTGCCAACTAGACCATCACTAAAACTGGACCAACTTCCATCAACAACCTGAGACTGATGCTGGTCTTGGGATAGGCCCTCCAGTCCAAAGAAATTGTGGATCCTCTCTCCAAATTCGTTTCCAGGCATAGAATCAGCTTCTAGAAATTAATTTTAAATATCTGGACTTCGAAAAGAAACGGAAAAGAGTTCAAGCTTGTGTCTCCTTTATTCTAAAAACAACCGTTGTTTCTGCAAAATAGGAAACAAAAGTGCGTCAAATGAAAATCATCGGGCAAGATCCTCAACCCTAATTCAATTTAAGACAATACATTTATTAAGACAGGAAAGTTCAAATCTTCACGCAGGAAAATCCTCAGACCAACGAAGCGAGACTTAAAAAAAACTCGAGAATCGATACAACGCCAACCAGGTTATAAGGAAACCTAATCAGCATTGTTTCCTTAAATGAAAACCGTACATTGACATCCAAGGTCCACTAAGCCAAAGCCTAAGCTCCAATCAACTTATGAAACTATAACACACTCCTAATCCAGTAAACTCGAGAACTCATTTGCAGTAAATGTCATCAAGATCCTTGTTCAAAAACCAGCTGAATTCGCATCTCACCTCTATGAACACTCTATGGCAGCTGCAATTAAGCTAATTTAGAAAAATTTACAAAATTTCTCGGAAATCTCGTGAACGCACTCTGAGATCAAATTGCACCCAAAATCGAAGCTCTGGTTAACATGAACATTACAATAACCTCAAACGAGAGCCTCCCTGACTTCAATTTTACCGACACGCTCCAAGAATTGGGTATATAACATCATTCTCCTTTTAGGACATTAAACAAAACTAGGGTTTCCACTAAGAGAAAGAGAGATGTATGTATACTTACACTTGTTCTGTCGCGTCGACAACAATTGGAAAGCCTGAAAGCTTTCTTCTCCGACCGCAATTTCTAAGAATAAGTTAGGGTTTTCGAATCCGAGAATTAACGAAACCACCAGAAGAGAGAGAGAGAGAGAGAGAGAGAGAGAGATAAGTGATCGAATGGAGTACGAAAATTTTCAACGGCGGGCGGACGCAGGAGCAAATCCGAGGCTTGGGTTCGGGAGAAAAATCCCAGCGTCGGATCCGAAGCAGATGCGTCGTAGATCAGAACTCTCTTTCAAAGACAGAAGGTTAGACTAGTAGTTGTTGGGGGGGGCCAGTGACGGACCATTATTAAATAGGGACCCACCTAAGACGTTTAAACGGCACCGTGTTAATCGCAATCTTTCATTAGAGACTAGAGTCTAGATATTTATTAATTTGTTCTATAGGTAGCTCCGATTTTTATTATCTTTTCATAAGACTTTCCAAGTCAAATTATAGATAATGTACTCTTTGACTATCTTTAAGTAAGATTATGGCATCTTTTATAACTTACTTATTGCCATATTATCACACACTTTTGAATAGTTTAATGGAAATTTGTCTTTCTTGGAAACTAATAAACCAAATATTGTGGCTGATCAACTGTAAATTTCAGGTCAACACTCTTATCACAGTATAACATAACAACAACTTTTTTTTTAATAGAGTAGAATATAACTACGTTCATCCGAACAAAGCTGAAAAGAAAATTACTTTCATCCAAATTTTTTTGCTTTATACTCCTAATCGCAACAGCTTCTCCTTCTAGGATTTTATAACTTTCCTGCTCCTTCATCTTCCACCATTTGAAGTATCAAGTATGGATTGGATGTGTTTCCCTTAAACTTTGTAATCTTTTGGTGGTTTATGCATATAGTACTATTTTCTCTCATTGTTTTCAAATATATCTCTTTTGTTCATGATATTTACAACACTTTTTGATGAACGTTTTCTATGTTTTCTATGAGAAGGTGAATTTATTTACATGCAAAAGTATATTTATTCCACAGTCACATTTTGATTTGTTTTGTAGTGATTTCTTAGCCCTATTTTTATTTATTTTGAGCGAAATGTATTTTTACAATATTGCTTCGTTCGACTTCCATGATATAGATTTGGATTTTAACTGAAAATTGTTTGTTGATAATGGTGCTTAGTTTATTCTTCTGCATTCATCCATGTTCGAGGTCTACAAAAGCAATGACAAACAACAATTTCCAGTTGTTAAATGAGAAATAAAGTTCACCTCATTTGTGCTTATGTGGTAAAACTTAAAGCATACCTAAGCTTTATTAAAAATTTGTCTCAATACAATATATTGTTGACAAGCTACCATTTATATATATATATATATTGGTGGTTTTCCGGTTATTACATACTCCCTCCGTTTCGTTTTAGTTGTCGTTTAAAATTTTATCGCACAAATTAAAAAAAGCATTAAATTTTCTGTTTTACCCTTTATTAATATATCCTATAAATTTTTTCATTGGCCAAAACATTAAAACAATAAGGATAATACTGGAATTTTTACCAAACATTTGCATTGAAAACCTAAAACGACAACTATTACGAAACAAAATTTAAGTCCTAATACGACAACTAAAACGAAACGGAGGGAGTAGGATTTATATGATAGCTTAGACGTTTCGAAGAGGATGAAGACCAAGCTTCGTATATGAGTCTCCATGATATGACAAAGAACTCGTCTGATATTATTAAAATCTTCGTAAAGATTTGATTATGCTAAAATATGTTTCATATAAACCAATTGTCGGTCCTAAAAATAGGCTATCTCGACTACATTTTTTGGCTCCTTGGTAGGTAGTTTTGCTCAAACAATGGACATCTTGTGGAAAATCTTGAGCCACATAAGTAACTCATTAGCTTGTGTTTTGACTTTTGTGGTAGCTTTCTTAACCTGATATTTTGTCTTTGTACGTAATCAAGTTAAATTAAATGAAATGAGTTGCAGAGTTTTGAGTATTACGAATTCTTTTAATGGTCTTTGTTTATAGCTGTAAATCTAGAGGTTTGAGTTTCTATAAATTCAAATTTGTGTGCTTTGCCTAAAACTAGAAACCTGAGGAATAGAAACGGAACCGAAAAAGAAAACCAAACTTTACCTTCTCGTTCTGGTTTCCCTAGGGTAGCTCGACAAATATGGCATATCATCACTCTTCTTGTTTCCTCTGTCGTATTAGTTTGATTCCACATCTCCCCACATGCAAATTATTTTAATTTTAGAGATACTTTTAATTTGTAATAGAAATAGTATATTGACAAATGACAATATTTGACATCATGTGATGACATGTCACATGTAGATAGTAAAGTGGCCATTTATTCGTCTATGAAGATATTTCCATCTCCTAGTACCGTCATCATTGGTTATCCTTACGACCTTACCTAACCAAGTAACCATCCTATTATTACTCCACTTTCAAACTCATGTGCGAGTCTCCTGCTTACACGAAGTTATTAATTCTTACTATTTTTTGATATTTTCTTGAACAATTTAATTACATTAAAAATATTTTATTGTTTTTGTCGGCTCGTGAAGTACCTTTTGTGGGTCCTCTTTTCGTTTAGACAAAAACCAAAAAAAAAAAGTTGTTTGTGAAATCAAATGCGGTGTATAATCCACTAACGTGGCTTACTTACCCAAATGGCCAAATCCCATCCGTCTCCATCTCTTGCTTTTCAAATATGCGGTTAAAAAGGTTTGATACTCTTATACATGTATCGCTGAAATTTGATGTTTATATATATATACTTATATGCTAGGTTGATCAATTGCCAGTTGGCAGTTGCCACTTTATGTATGTTTATGCATATAATTAAGATATATATATGATGCAGTTAATAATTCTCGTCAAAACCTCGATCCCGCTTCGAGAAAAAAATTAATTGTGCGTAATTAAAGGACAAAAGTAATAAAGAACATATATACTATAATAGGTAGAATTCTGGAACAAGTATAAATAAACTTACCAAAATTGTATTCTACGTACCATAACATGTCATCCAACATTATCAACCACATATCTTACCTACCCTTCTCGAGTTCACTAGCTACCGCGATTAACGAAATTATATGGTCCAGATTTTCCCAATGATCAGCTAGTAGTCTAGTGCTATTCAAGTATAACTGAGTTTCTAAGTAGTGATTTGCATTATAAAGGATTACTAGATAACAATCCGCACGATGTGCGGGATGAAGTGATTCAAGTAAAATTATTATGATTAAAATTATTATCCGGGATCCAAGATCTGTTTGTGTAAAACGAAACATGTTACAAATTTTTTTTGTTTTATTCAAATTTGGGACTATTTCATATAAGAATATGTTTTATCCGTGAAATATTTGAACCTTGAATAAAGCTTCAACGTGATAAAAAAGTATTGACGAAATGTTACCATTTATGGCAATATGTCTTTCCGTATGTTTTAAAGATTTCGAGATTTTGTAGTATAGAAAGATTTTTTTTTTAATAAGTATAAGAAATCCAAAATTTAGCAAAGATGAGATTTGATAGTTTCCAAACTAAGATTTTGTAGTGTTCCAAATCTAAGATTCTTAGATTATGAATGGATTATTTACGAAATGATTATAATGTGGCCAGATTTTGATTTATATATAAGTGTGGTTATAATGTTTTTCTTTGAAAAGTTAGAACTCCTCCAAAAAAAATAGGATTTTAAGTATTCGTAACATATATAGAAAGAATATTCCAACTTTTTCTACGTATATAAATGAAATGATAAATTTAAGCACATTATTCGTATATATGTTTGAAACGTGGTAGTATCCACAATTTAATTATCGACTTAAAATAGAAAAGAAACGTACATTATATTATAATGTCTCTTTATATTTATTCTCTTACGAAACTAGAGTGTATAACAATCTCGGTATATGCTACTCGATTGTAAACGTAACTCTCAAGTTGCAAGCAACGTAAATAAATTATAATCATTTTCACACACAATAACGTCGCACTTGTATACTTCAAAACAAACGTTTGGTCGCTATATTGAAGTGGCGAGAATGCGTTTCTCCTCAGCTGTCTCTTTTTTAGTTTTTATCAAATCTTTTTTTTTTAATATTTTTTTTTATCAAATCTTGATTCTTTTAGAATTATGAGTGTGATGTGTTACTATACTTACTAACGAACTTATCTAAAGACCATTTAAACTGTTCATCGATGACATTTAGGTCCAATATTTTTATAGTTCAGATTATCAATTATTTTTTATGAATATCATAAAATATATAAAAGATAAAGCGATTATTTCTTCAGTGTTTTGAAATATTTTTTTAAAAAAAACACCTCATTGAGAGGTTTTCATGTGAATATATATCTCAAAAATTTGAGAAACATCCACCAAAAGTTTATTTGAAATATTGTCTGGTTTCTCTCAACTTTCTAAGGTACTTACCTATATATACCAAATGATGAGACTCTTTTCCAATGAAGATGCTCCAACGATGTCTGAGTAATGAAATTATTCTACCCAAGAGTTATAAAGTGAAAAACATATATGGCAGTAAATATTCCCGATTTGTTTTGCAGCGCACTAATCTAAACATAAATAAAAGTCACGAGGACAAACGTTAGAAGGAGACACTGTTATTTAAAGTTTAGAAAGCAAAGGATGTATATCCAAAAGCCAAGGTACCCAATCTAATGAACTGCGTAAGAAAAAAAAAAAAAAAAAAAAAACTTCGAATGCTTGATTTGTGGGGAAATACATGGGACACGCCAGAAAGAAGACTTCCTTTTTTTTCTTGATTAACCTTCTTCTTTTGATAAAACAAAACCCTGAACAAATCAATAAAATACAGATGTGCCACGTCACGTGTACACAAATACATGAATATATTTGAGTAATATATTAACGTGTTAGATTTAACGAATCCCCATCTAATGAAAACAGTAGAAAACCAAGATTTTTTTTTTTTTTTTTTTTTGTGTACCAAAAGGATCCAAGATAAACCGATTGTTTTTTTTTTTTTCTAAAATAAATCGAAACTTAAATATACTCTATGTTGCACAAAATATTTTATTTTATTCTATAATATAGTCAGCGTTGATTAAAAAAGGTGGAAAAAACCAACTTCAAACCAAAACAGTACTTCCATAATTCCTTTTTTTTTTATAATAGAAAAATAATAATAAAAGGTTCCTAGCCAAGACATGTATAGATTTTTTTTCTTTCAAAACTCCTCTATTTATAGCTTATGTTTTGTATTCTCATTTATCACTTACCATTCAAACCTACCCAACACTATGACAACTCTCTTTCTCACAATCCTTCTAGCCACTGTCATCTTCCTCTTCCTCCTCCGTGTATTCTCTCTCCGGCGCAACCGCAGCCACAACATCCGTCTTCCACCGGGCCCAAACCCATGGCCCATCATCGGAAACCTCCCTCACATGGGCCCTAAGCCTCATCGAACCCTTGCCGCCATGGTATCTACTTACGGCCCTATCCTCCACCTCCGATTAGGTTTCGTCGACGTCGTGGTCGCTGCCTCTAAATCTGTGGCCGAGCAGTTCCTGAAAATCCACGACGCCAATTTCGCTAGCCGACCACCAAACTCAGGAGCCAAACACATGGCATATAACTATCAAGATCTTGTCTTTGCACCTTACGGACAACGATGGAGACTGTTGAGGAAGATTAGTTCTGTTCATCTATTTTCAGCTAAAGCTCTAGAAGATTTCAAACATGTTCGACAGGTATAACAATTATAAACGTTATTCTCATTTTCTAACGCTATAGCTCACCTGTAGTGATATTAAATCATGTCAGTTCAATGTTTTGACTCTTTTTTTTTTTTATATAGTTAAAATTTATAAATAATAAACTAGGCACTAACTAGTATTATTATAAAGAAGAAATTTAGAGAAGAATTGATAGTTATTCTTCTTGCATGAACAGAAAAATATAGTCATCGTTTTTTTTTTATTGTAAAAAATATAGTGTTTTAAAAAGATATTAAATATTTAGCATTGAAAGCTCATAGGTTGGTGCCTGTGTTTTCAAACCCTATCTCTCACTTTTGTAATGGAACTTTTGTAATAACAATTAGTATTTATTTGCATATAAATGTTAACAATTAGTATTTATTTGCATATAAATCTTATATTAAATTTGGGTTTTCTTCAAATGAATTATATATAAAAATATATAAATAATTGGGTTGTACTCGAATGAATTTACACAAGTGCAACCATGCAATACTGTCATTGTCGTGGATGTATATTATACTATCTAACTTTGATGATGCCATGGAAATTGGAAAGTTTAGATACCAGAGGAAATATATTGCTTGAACAATATTATGTATGGTCGTATGGACCACATTGTTTCCTTAAATGGAAGGTGTCACGAGTTTCTCAATAGTATATTTCAGAGTTCAGACTACTGATAATATGTGCTTTAATAGATTTTGTTTTCTGATCATTTAATACTTAATATTAAAATTATATTATCAGGATACTTTTATAGAAAATAATAATAAATTATTTTTGATCAGGCGAATTAAACAAGATGAATCTGACACTTTATTTATTAGATAGACGAGATTATTTTCATATAAATTTTAAATTAGAGTAAATCTTTTAAGAGAAGGAGATGGTTTTTTTTACAGTTTAGACTGTGTTTTAAAATATGGATTGATCTGGCCAATTGGACCGGTTTAATTCCTGACTACAGAAGTAATTTGGTCTGGCTTTAACTCTAAACCGGGATTTGTTTGATTCACTTAAACCCAAAAAAAAGGCAACGACCGGACCGATTTATATATACTAATTATCTAACTTTGGTAGAATTTTTAGCATCGATTCATAATTAATCTTATTAATTAAGATTTTTTTTTTGGTAATGAGTAGTATTAATTATGATTCTGTTGGAAGAAAATATAATGAAGGATTAAAGAAACTTTTTTCTAAAAACATAATAAATGAATTTTACAGGAAGAGGTTGGAACGCTCACGCGGGAACTAGCGCGTGTAGGCACGAAACCAGTGAATTTAGGTCAGTTGGTTAACATGTGTGTAGTCAACGCGCTAGGACGAGAGATGATCGGCCGGCGACTGTTCGGCGCCGACGCCGATCATAAAGCTGACGAGTTTCGATCGATGGTGACGGAAATGATGGCTCTCGCCGGAGTATTTAACATCGGAGATTTCGTGCCGTCACTGGATTGGTTAGATTTACAAGGTGTCGCTGGTAAAATGAAACGGCTTCACAAAAGATTCGACGCTTTTCTATCGTCGATTTTGGAAGAGCACGAAATGAACGGTCAAGATCAAAAGCATACAGATATGCTTAGCACTTTAATCTCGCTTAAAGGAACTGATCTTGACGGTGACGGAGGAAGTTTAACGGATACTGAGATTAAAGCCTTGTTATTGGTTAGTTTTTTACTAATTACTTTCCTTAAATCCTATATAAGAAAATTATTGATTATCTTTTTGTAAAATACAGAACATGTTCACAGCTGGAACTGACACGTCAGCAAGTACGGTGGACTGGGCTATAGCTGAGCTAATCCGTCACCCGGATATAATGAATAAAGCCCGAGAAGAACTTGATTCTGTTGTGGGCCGTGACAGGCCTGTTAACGAATCAGACATCTCTCAGCTTCCTTACCTTCAGGTACCGTTCATCCAAACCGGGAATTTGGAATTGTTTTGGTTAACGAGCTATTGTTGATCCGATTTTGGTTTAAAACAGGCGGTTATCAAAGAGAATTTCAGGCTTCATCCACCAACACCACTCTCGTTACCACACATCGCATCAGAGAGCTGTGAGATCAACGGCTACCATATCCCTAAAGGATCGACGCTATTGACGAACATATGGGCCATAGCCCGTGACCCGGATCAATGGTCGGACCCGTTAACGTTCAAACCCGATAGATTTTTACCCGGTGGTGAAAAATCCGGCGTTGATGTGAAAGGAAGCGATTTCGAGCTTATACCGTTCGGAGCTGGGAGGAGAATCTGTGCTGGTTTAAGTTTAGGGTTACGTACGATTCAGTTTCTGACGGCGACGTTGGTTCAAGGATTTGATTGGGAATTAGCCGGAGGTATTACGCCGGAGAAGCTGAATATGGAGGAGAGTTATGGGCTTACTTTGCAAAGAGCGGTTCCTTTGATGGTGCATCCTAAGCCAAGGTTGGCTCCGAATGTTTATGGAATCGGGTCGGGTTAAAATCTAATGTTGCTTCTAGGCCAAGGCATAGGGCTTGCACGAAAGTAAAACAGCGTAATTTGATCCGGAATTAGCTTAATGTAAGAACGTGTAGTAACGCCAAATCAAGTAATTATTAAATATTGTTGTGAGTTGTTTGTAACCTATAATGTTTGTCTCTTGGAAGTAATTATTTATCTTGAAGAGGAAGATTTCAGAAATCTTGAATATGTTTTATCCCTGGTTTTTAGGATAAAACTTTTTTTTTTTTTTTTTACAGTACCGCAAGTTGAATTAAAACCTTTTCCTTACAGTACCAAATGCATTTAAAAATCTAGATCTTTTTTAGGCAACACAATCAGATTTTGCAATATTTCATATATACTAGAGGTGGAACACCACCACCTGCAACTCTGCAACACATGTTACAATTACACATTCACTTTTGGCGGTTTTCAATAAGTTATAAATAGCAATTGTTTGTAGACAGTAGAAAATTAGTAATAGTGAATTTTATTTCTCTTTTTTAAAAATTATATTGTGATAAGTCTCCGAATACATCGGACCAAACTAGCCGACATCCTAACTTGTTTACAGCTTTCCCTTTTACTTATTTTGTAAATTTTTATTTTCTTGAAGAATCACAATATTTGTAATAATTTTTGAAATTTAAAAAAGGTGTACTTACAAGTTCGGGTGTTCACACGGAGAGCTACAATAATGAAAAAGCTGACTCAAGAAGGGCTATAGAAGAAACAAGAGTCACGGAACAAGTTGTCACTCTCAATCTCCAGTACACACTAGCTTGCATCACTCTCTCTCTTTCTCTTATTCTTCTTCTCTAAAATTATCACAAGTGAAATCTCTCTATCTTTCTCTCAACAAGTCTAACAGTGACATTTGTATCTCTGAACTCCAACCATGGCTGCTCTGATTCTCTACCTTCTCAGTCTCCTCATGGCTGGCCATTCCAGTAAGAACTCTCACTCTTCTTCACATTTCTTATCTCTTCTTTTTCAATGTGTCTATTGATGGGAATACAATTTCAATCAAATCCTTTAAGTTCTTGACTTACCTCTGTCCTCTTTGTTGATGGATTTGGTCTCTCCGTTTCACTCTCTCTTACTTTTCACTTTCTTCTCTGGCTCTCTGGTTTAAGAAACCCCTACTCTCCTTATCAGATCTACTATAGAAACCTTGCTTCCATTCCCTGACAAAGAAACTATACCTTATGCAACTCTTGTTGATGATTTGCAAAATCTTGTTAACCTTTCAAAACAAGATTTATCCAAATCTTCTTGGCTTCACTTACAATTTGGTCCGTTTTTTCTTTGCTTTGTAGGTGCCTCATGGTGTGTGTGCAAAACAGGGCTGAGTGACTCAGTGCTACAAAAGACATTAGACTATGCTTGTGGAAATGGAGCTGACTGTAACCCAACTCACCCAAAAGGCTCTTGCTTTAACCCTGACAATGTTAGGGCTCACTGCAACTATGCAGTCAATAGCTTCTTCCAAAAGAAAGGTCAAGCTGCTGAGTCTTGTAACTTCACTGGTTCTGCAACTCTTACCACCACTGATCCCAGTAAGTTTCTCAGAAATCTGATACTCTTGTGATTCTTTAGAACCCTACAAGTTTTTGAGTCTCAGAAAGTTCAAGTTCAGGGTCTTTTGGTTACTCTTTACTATGAACTGGTATTAAAGACTAGACTAGAGATATTTTTGACATTTTTTCTCCTATGTGTGATTTTTTTTTTTTGTCACAGGCTATACAGGATGTGCATTCCCTTCTAGTGCTAGGTACGGCTCTTTGCTTCTACACATTTCTTTTCTTAATGGTTTTATCCCGTGTTCAAAAAATCGCTAGGCGCTAGTCGGGCGGTGAGGGTGCGCCTAGCGCCTAGCAAGAAAATCGGGGATTACACGGGGATTAATCGGGGATTAGTTTTAGGGCTATTTAATATTTTAAAAACATATTAATCCATTATAATTAAGAAATTTATATAATATTGTTTTTAAAATTGTATTAAACACATGAAAACAAGATTTTAATTTCAAATTTATGATTTTTATACAAATTACGAACATAAGTAGGACATTTTGAATTTTAGATGAAAAAAAAAAAAAAAAAAAAAAAAAAAAATTGGGCTAGGCGCCGTCTAGGCGGGCTAGGCGGCCGCCTAGGCGGTCTAGGCGGACAAAAAATCGGATCTCCGATTTTTCTCACCGATTTGGACAAAATCGCCGCGGTGCTCCTCCGATCAGCGCCTAGGCGGCCGCCTAGGCGGCTAGGCGGCCGATTTTTAGAACAGGGGTTTTATCTAGAAATGAAAGGATAGCCATTTAATACTACTCTTTAATTAACTTACTTTTATAATCCCTATTTTGTGGGAAAGAGAAAAAGTGGACAAAAAGCTTGATTTGGGTCAAAAAGTGCACTATTGTTTAATCTTTTACTAAAATTTAGATAACATCTACAACAATTCAATTGCCTTTTTGGGGGATTGTATAAAGTTTGAACATGTGGTTAGTGTATTGACTTGCTTCTCTTTGCAAGAGTTTTATTATGTTGCTATAATCTGTTCTTTGAAAACGCATTAATGCTAAATAAATTGAAAAGGTATACAGGTGCCAATTGTTTCAAAAGCTAATCTTTCTATTTACATGAAAAAAAAATATTTCAAAGAAGATTTTTAAACAATACAACTTTTTTTTTTCTATCCTAAAATTTATAAACTCAAAGGACATGTGTTTGCATTTACAATTAACAAATAAATTTCGTTGAAAATAATTACAACTGTAAGTTCATTTGAAAAAAAAAAGTGCAAGCTAAAGATAAACGCAAACAATACAATCAGGCCTAATTAAGATTACAGATTTTTGGATTAGCTTGATTATGACTTTATGAGTATTGTTGTTTGTTTACAGTGGTTGTAGTGGAAGCAGTAGCTCCACCGTGACGCCTGGCAAAAACAGTCCAAAAGGAAGCAACAGCATCACCACATTTCCCGGCGGAAACAGTCCATACACTGGCACACCATCTACCGGATTATTAGGAGGCAATGTCACTGATGCTACTGGAACTGGGTTTAACCCTGATTACTCAACCGAAAGCAGTGGATTCGCTCTCCATTACTCCAACAACCTTATGTTTACCGGCTTTTGTTCTCTCTTGATGATGCTTTGAAGAAGAGTCTAAAATATGTTATTTATGTTCTTGTTGTTTTAGAGATAATATAATCTGGATTTCGGTTCTTTTATCACTTTCCGGTTTTAAGAAAACAGTTATCAATGTAAAACCAATTCTATTATATATCGGTTTGGTACGAATTCATTATATTATATCTATGAAACAAATGTTAAAGTTTGCATTTTTGTTTGGTTTCGGATTGGGTCTAAGAATTTTATAACTAACTCAACCAGAATAAGATTTACTGGTCTGGAAATTTCCATTTTCGTGAACCGGATTGAATAATGAATAAAGCATCTCGGTTTGATTCGGTTTAGTTTGGTTGTGCTTTTCTTGGGAAACACACTGGATGAATTAGAGTGTCCCCTCGGTAGAAAATATAATGATAAATTAATGATTTCCTATACAATCTCTTCTTTCGGTTTCAGTATATAAATTTCTGACAAATCTATCGACTTCATTTGAGGATCTTCAAGAAAACAAGAAAAGATGGAGACTCCAACAGTAAGATTATTATTTCATTCGTTTAAATAACAATTCAAAGATTTGTGAACATGGACAAATTATTCTGCAGTGAAAAATATTAAAATATATCCATGTTCTTTATTTTTGTTTAATTTTTTGATTATTATAACCTTTTTTATTTTATGTTTCTTGGCTTTCTTTGGTTTTGAGTTTTTGTGATTTCGAACTATAAATTCCCTCGATTGGTGAAAAGAGTTTCTGATCTGATGTGTTTCTACAATTAATCTTGATTTATCCTCTGTTTTTTTTTTTTTTTTTTTAATCTGGAATCAATTTTTTTTTTCAAGAAGATCTCTGCTTAGAAGATTTTACAAATATTTGATTGTTTCCCTAAAAAGAACTTGAGAATTTTGTTGTTAAACTATTATTTCATGAGATGTTCTCAAATATTACGAGATTATAATAGGGATTATGTTGATTAAACCCATCGTCTTATGATGCTTTTGTTGAAAAATCCTTAGATTCAAAAAAATTGTTAGGCATGATCTGTTATATATAAATCATGATTTAACTCAATTGTTTTGCTTTGATGATTCTAGGATGCATCCAAATTTACGATTGATGAAAACTATTATACATTAATGCCGATTTTATTCGATTTTTTTTTGTCACACAGGGACCTTGTAACGTATGTGGGGTTATCGGCTTTGAGGATTTCATTATGACTTGTTTCAGATGCAGAGAAGTCAGAGAACACATGTACATGATGACTTTCGTTTCTTGTATATCTTTTTTTGTAGAATACTCTTTTACATGATTATGATTATCATTCTTTAATTCAATGGATGTTTCTCTTTTGTGTTTACAGTTATTGCGCAGCAGTCTGTTTACGATCTGTCCCCGATATGTGGTTATGTCAAGAGTGCAGATCCTCAACTCGCGTATTACAGATATCGGATCATGTGAACAACTCAACTAATAGCGGTAGGAAAGAGATTTCTACGCCGGTTCTTCATCATAATACTTCGAATGGCGGCTTGAGACTTCATCCGCCTCCTCATGGACTTATGTTGCTGGCACAATCATGTCCTAATAAAGGTGATATATATATAAAGTTTTTGTTTATGTTTACTTAAGTAGTCTGTTCAGGATTATTGAACTAATCTACATGAGGTGCCTAATTTTGTTTTTGATAGCTTCTTTGGTGTCCAATGATACATCTCCAATCAAGAAACGGCGACCACAATTTTTGGCTTTTCCTTCTCCGAAAAGAAAACGTAGGACGCTTCGGCTTGCAGGTGAAACCACAATTTGTATTTGATTCAATTTTCTGTTAGAAAGTGAGATTATGATATTGTGCTTATGTTTTATTTTGTGGTTTTCTTTGGTTTATGTTTGTAGAAGAAGATATTGAAGAAACTAAACGTCAAAGACCTCAAAGTTCACATCCTTGTGTATTTCATCAAATTGATTAAGACATTTGTGTTAACTTCTCCTGAGCCTCTTTGCTTGAGTTTCTTAAGTGAGTGCATCTGTAACTATGATTATTAGGGCTTCATTTTACTTGGATATCAAGTTATTTATAAGCTATGTAAGATTGGACTTTGCTGACATATGTGACTTGCTCACATTGACATTCCTTCTTTCTTAGTTTGTATCCTGTCTATAAATCATTGTTATGATATCCCTCATATTTTCTATGTTTAATGCAGAAAATTTGTATTTAGTTTAGCATTTTTTATTGGTGAGCTCCCGTATGATGTGTAGAATCTGTTGATTTGCCAAAGAAAATGATGATTTGATTTGCTACGAATTAAACAATCAATACATGTTCCCAGCATTTGAATTTTTCTGGATTTAATATTTTTCACTTTAAATGATATAATCTGATTCTGAATTTTAAATTATCCCGCGATTTTTAAGATGACCGTTATAAGTTGACATTTTCATATTTGGCTATAAAAACAAGACACATAAATTTTTGATTTTAAACTTTGAATTTTGCGGGATTTAAAAATGTATTTTTACGTTAAGTAACGAAATCTAATTTAACTATCCCACAGTTTTTTAAAATGATCCTTATAAGAACAAGACACGTCAAATTTAGATTTTAAATTTTAAAATTAATTTATTAAATTCTAAAAAGTAAAAAAACGTATCATCACAAACCAATTTAAAATACTATATAATCACTTAGTTTAATAGTGTGTCAATGAAATTTATTGCGACTTTACAGTAATTTCTTGTAATTATTGATTTTGTTATAGCAGTTGGGATTTTCATGAAAAAGTTAAACTATTTTCTTTACCTAATATAAACTTTTTTGAAATTTAGTTATTTATGAGCTTTATTATACATTTTTTACTCTTCCGTTCTTTTATAAGTGATGTTTTAGGAGAATGCACACAGATTAAGAAATCATTTAATTTTTGTTTATTTCTAAACTAAAACATCATTTATTATTTTAATTTTTGTTTATTTCTAAACTAAAACATCATTTAAACATAAATAGTCAATTAGCTCTCACACATTAGTACATGAATGGAATGGTGGTGAATCTAAAACTTATTGTTTTAAGTTCTACAAAATAAATGAGTTAATTTACAAATAAAAGTTAATTTAGTTGATAGAAAAACATGTAAGTTATTAAGAAAATATCAATAGAAGTTTGAGTTATTAGTAAAATAGTGTTTTTTTTTTTACCAAACAGGCTGCAAATAAAGCTCAAAGTAATTTTGAAGATGTGTAAGCCGAGATACTTGATAAATCAGTGACCGATTGAATAACAACACTTTTCTTGGTAAAAGAAAACAATACCGAACCGAATGGAGATGTTATATGGTTTACGTTTTTCTAAAACCGATCAATTGGAAACCAAATAAACCGATGCAAACCGGATGAAATTGATAGTCATCGATATTCGATATTGACCCTTTTACAAAAAAGAAAATAGAAATTCCGGTAACCCAGGTTTACAAAAAAAAAAAAAAAAAAAAAAAAAAAAAAAAAAAAAAAAATTCCGGTAACCCTTGGTAGCTCGTACGGCTTCTTCACAAAATTGCCGGCCTATGAAGATCATTTCCTTCATTTAATCATCCAGAGTCCAGATTCTTCATTGCTGTACTCACAAAGCTCCAAAGTCTTGTTCTTTGCTTCTTTGTCTTTAATTACTGCTCATGACTATCTCTCTCATGGAAAAGTCGAAGCCTTTTTCTGCGTTTCTCTAATGGGTATTGCTAAGTACTTCGATTTCCGCGTAGTTGAAGTTTGAGAATTTTGGTTTGTTCTCTGATAGTTTAACTTTGGTGGGTAGCTTTTATTTGCTTTTTATAGCTTCGTTCTTCGAAATTGAAGCCTGAGCTTTTGATTCTCAAGCTTAGTATGAGTTCGTTTGAATTAATGGAGATGTTTTCGATGAGCTTTAATGTTTATGTAGTTGGATTGGAGAGGATCCAAGTGCTCTTTTGATTGTTGAGGACGAAGAGAGAAGAAATGGATCTATGGTTAATCGCAGCTACTGCTGCTACAGGATATATAACCAAGCATTTGCAAAATGTATCAAAAGGTAAATCTTCGTCTGAAGATTTGACTAATGTGAAGCTAGAGTCTCCGAGATACTTGGCTAGTAATGTAGTAAGAGTCAAGAAACCAAAAGAAGAAAACTTTGAGGATTGCTTTAATGGGGAAACTCTTGATCTATATGAATGTGGCAATGCATATAAAGTGGAAGTAGATTCGAGTAATGAGGAGAATTTGGGATATCATGATGAGATTCGTTCAGGTTCTTTTGGGAACAGAGCGTTTCTTAGGAGGAATCAGCGTCTTATCAAGCCTTTTTCTTTGGAGAAAAGTGTAATGTCTCGGTTACATAGAGAGAAAGTGTCCATGGAGGAATATATGCGTAGTCTGTTTCCATCACCTTGTGGTTCAGTTTCGAGGCCCTTGCTTGTCACTGATGGTACAAAAGTAATTAGCAAGAAAACTGGAGATTCTGTTAGCCAGCAAGTTCCGGAATGCGGGATTCCTCAGCTTAGGAAGTTGGAATCTTCACTTCTCTACGCTAAGAGGGGAGTTGGAAATGCTAAGAGCGCGAGTAGAGGATCTGATAATGGGATTGGTAGAATTCTTGCTCTCTTTTTAAAATGTTAGATTTGTTTATACTGACAAAGGAGAAGACTTAACATGTTATCTTTTTTTCAGGATCAAATGATGCAGTGTTGCTGCTTTGCGTTGGGATTTCAATTGGGATAATGTCATCATTTGTAGCAAACCAAACCGAACTAAACAAAGTCAGAGCAGAGTCAAAGCAGACAGAGAATTTGGTAAAAGAGTTTGAAGATGAGCTCAAGAGAAAAGACTCATTGACAGTGAAAGATGATTTACACAATGGTGAAAAGAGAGTAGAGAATTCAGAATCTGTAAGTAAAATTGAAGCAGAACTTGAAGCTGAACTTGAAAGGCTGGAGATCAACATGACTTCCTCCAACATTGAAACAAAACTCTCAGATGTCTTTGAGGTGAGTTTCATACTCTAGCTTTTGCTCTTTCCTTTGCTTTCACTGAATCATTGTCTCATTCTGGTCGATCATGTCTGTTCAATCTGGAAGTTATCCCGCAGCACTAATGATCCTGTTTTCTCCATATATGAAAATTGAGCTAAACAGATATTTGATCATAAGAGTAGCTATTGTTTAAACATCTATAGAAGTCCAGCTTGTTAATTGTTTCTCAACTCTGCAGCTGGAGCCAGAGTTTGAAGTAGAATTTGCGCAGGGCGTGCTGATAGATGATCAGGTTGAAAGGCAGCGTTTTGATGAAACCGGGTCCAACCAGGAATGGAGTAGCAATTCCACACCTGAATCAGGAAACTATATAGTCTCACCTCGTGAGTTAAGCTTGCGTCTGCTTGGAGTTATCAATTCACGTTATGAAAAACGTATAAAAGAACTTGACAAAGCCTTACAAGAGAGTCAGATGAAAGTGGAGCAGCTGGTCATAGAATCAGAGGAAAAGAAGAAACCATTGTCAAGGATTTGGGAAACCAATGAAGTGATGAAATACAAGAGAGACTCAAATCTTCCAGTTTCTGTAGCTGATACCGAGAAGAATCATAATCCTCCTGCAGAGATCCAGCCTCTGGTTATGAATATAGAAGGGGAAGCACTTGATGCATTCAATGAATCTTACGAGGAACTGATGGATATTAACGACTATTCAGAAGAAGATTATTTACAATGTGAGATGCAGGAGAATGAGCGGCAAGAAGAATTGTCTTTGACGAGCAAAAGCTCACCTTGGAGCCATAAAGATTACATAAAGGATTCTTCAAGAACTTCAGAGGATGTGAATTTCTCCATACTGCAAGATCTACTTGGTCTGAGTGACGAAGAAGAAGATGAGATGGAGAAGCATCTGATAAAGCAGATTGTTGAGAAAACAAAGCAAGGATCGTCTGCTGTGTTTAATGCACAGAAGATGCTATTTCTCATGGAAGAAACAGAACAAAATCTATAAAAAAAAAAAAAAAGCATTTACTCAAATTCTTATCATTTATGATGAAAGTATTACACGTCTCTAGTTAGTGTTTGTGTGTGTAGATATGCAAAGATTGGTGTAACTTTCCATGTCAGATCTAAACAAACTGAAAAAAGAAGAAGATGTTTTGTCAAATTCAATGTATATATCTTAAGAACAGTGTCAAAGCTAAGATGTGATAAGCTACAGTAGTAGTAACTAGTAAGCTTTGAAACCTGCTAGAGGCGTCAGAGGGTTTGAGAGAAGGCGCCAAAAAACAGAAAGCGATACGAGAAGAAGCGGTGAAGTTTTGAAAAGAAGAGAAGAAAAATCGGCGGGAATCATAAACCAAAAAACTAATAGCTCCCGCGCAAATATTTCTTTTACAAAAGCCATTTTGCTTCCCTTTTGTTCCTGTGAATTCTATAGACCTAGAGACTTAGAGAGAGAGATGGAGAACTCAGTGACCCAAGATGGTATCGCGACAGTTTTATCGAATCAATCCCTTGATTCTTCCTCTGTTCGACCCGAAATCGTCGTTCAAGTCGTGGATCTTAAGCCTGTCGGAAATCGATATACGTAAGTTTCGATCTGGATTTTGTAAGCATCGATCTGGGTTCTTCTGATATGTTTAGAACAAACTTTTTTATGGTTATAAATTAGGGTTAGAGATCTGGGTTTTGTTAGAATCTTACCAAGTCTCAGTTTTCTTTAGATTTGGATATAATACTGTTTATTTTTTGTTATAATTTGGATCTAATTTTAGGGCTATGTGTTTAGCTTTTATCAAATTCAATCTTAATTGGTTCCATGAAGTATCTTTGACATGTGATTTTGGTTATCAGGTTTAATGCCAATGATGGAAATATGAAGATGAAAGCAATGCTACCAGCGACTTTGACATGTGAAATTATCTCTGGAAAGATTCAGAATCTGGGTCTGGTTCGTCTCCTTGATTATACCGTCAATGATATTCCAGGCAAATCAGAAGAAAAGTAATAATACTAATCTCTTATGCTACTTTGATGATCAAAGATCTTCAAGTAAACTGAAACTAATCTTTGTTTTCTTTATTTGCCACTTCAGATATATGCTTATAACAAAATGTGAGGCCGTTGCCTCTGCACTTGACTCAGAGATTAAGGCGGAGATTAAAGCTTCCACAGGCATAACGTTGAAACCTAAGCAGGAGTTTGTTGCCAAATCAGCTTCACAGATAATCAATGAGCAAAGGGGAAAGTAAGTGAATCTTCTTCTTTTTAACTTCTTTGATTCATATTCTTTGTAATTGTTGTTATGAATGTTGCTTAAACAAGTCTCTGTGGTTTTTGTAGTGCTGCACCAGCTGCAAGAATGGCTATGACTAGAAGGGTTCATCCTCTTGTGTCTTTGAACCCTTATCAAGGAAGTTGGACTATTAGAGTTCGTGTCACTAACAAAGGAGTCATGAGAACTTACAACAACGCCAGAGGAGAAGGATGTGTGTTTAATGTGGAACTCACTGATGAGGAAGTAAGACTAATCTATGAATTCTATGTCTCTTGATTATTGTCTTAGACTCTATGTGGTTATTGATTTTTATTTATTTATGGAAATCCAGGGAACACAGATTCAGGCAACAATGTTTAACGCAGCTGCAAGGAAGTTTTATGACAGATTCGAGATGGGAAAGGTTTACTATATATCCAGGGGATCGCTTAAGCTTGCTAATAAGCAGTTCAAGACAGTTCAGAACGATTATGAGATGACTCTAAACGAGAATTCTGAGGTTGAAGAAGCTAGTAATGAAGAAATGTTTACTCCTGAAATTAAATTCAACTTTGTACCCATTGATGAGTTGGGTACATACGTGAATCAGAAAGACCTTATTGGTAAGAGCTGTTTCTTATATAGAACTCTTCTTATTGGTAAACATTGGTTTATGATGATAATTAGTGACTTTAATGTTATTTCATTTCCAGATGTTATCGGTGTTGTTCAATGTGTTTCTCCTACCATGAGCATTAGAAGGAAGAATGACAATGAGATGATCCCAAAGAGGGATATAACTTTGGCTGATGAGTCAAAGAATACTGTTGTGGTGTCCCTTTGGAATGATTTGGCAACTGGCATAGGCCAAGAACTGCTAGACATGGCTGATAATCACCCTGTTATCGCGATTAAGTCTCTCAAAGTTGGAGATTTTCAAGGTAAATCTATCGTTTTCATTTTAGAGAAAATAAGCATTTTGTCGAGTTGGGTGCTGATGTAAACCTGCTTTTCTAGGTGTTTCATTGTCAACTATCAGCAGAAGCAATGTGGTGATAAATCCTGATTCTCCAGAAGCTAAGAAGTTGAAATCTTGGTATGATGCTGAAGGGAAAGAGACATCTATGTCTGCTATTGGCTCTGGAATGAGTTCTTCTGCCAACAATGGATCAAGATCCATGTATTCTGATAGAGTTTTTCTCTCTCACATCACAAGCAACCCCTCTTTAGGCGAGGAAAAGGTACTAAAACACTTTTACATATTAAGCTCTGGTAGAAAGAAAAGTTGATTTATGCGTCTCGTATATGTGTTGCAGCCTGTATTCTTTAGTATTAGAGCTTACATAAGCTTCATCAAGCCAGACCAGACAATGTGGTACCGTGCTTGCAAGACCTGTAACAAGAAAGTGACTGAGGCAATGGACTCTGGCTATTGGTGTGAAGGTTGTCAGAAAAAGGATCAAGAATGCAGTTTAAGGTAAGATGATAGTGAGATTCATAAAAACCTCACTAAATAATAGATATTAGATCTTGTTTTGTTGTGTTCCTCTTTAATCATGTGTACTTAATGTGTGATCAGGTATATAATGGCGGTGAAAGTCTCTGATTCAACAGGTGAAACTTGGTTTTCTGCATTCAATGATGAAGCAGAGAAGATTATTGGCTGCACAGCTGATGAACTCAATAATCTAAAATCAGAGGTAAGAAAACTAAAACCATATAAAACAATTGGAACACATTCCTATTTCTCCATGTTCTGATTTACGATACGATGTTATGTTTGGTTTTTGCCAGGAAGGTGAAGTGAATGAGTTTCAGACAAAACTGAAAGAAACTACTTGGTCATCTCATCTCTTCAGGATTAGTGTTTCTCAGCAAGAGTATAACAGTGAGAAGAGACAGAGGATAACTGTAAGAGGTGTTTCTCCAATTGACTTTGCAGCTGAAACAAGATTATTGCTCCAAGACATTTCCAAGAAAAAGACATCTCAGTAATTCTAACCTTTTAACATCTTTTGTCTGGCTTTTGTTGAACTAAAACTCCCAAACTTTGTAAGTTTTTCTACAGTCGGTTAAATTGGTTCATGCCATTAAAGAATTGACTTTGTAAGTGTTCCCACAATCAATTCAGAGAGCCGTTGGGATTAAGTAGAGGCAAAATAATATTAAATTGAAGAAAATGGAAAAATCCATGGTTTAAAAAAAATCCTAAGAGAACATGAACTAGCTTAATAAGAAAGAAAAAAATCAAATTCAATAGGGGATTCACTGTTGCTGAGGCAAAGGAGACTTCAATTCCTGGTAATTGTGTAGACTTCCAGTGAAATCAGTGAACAAACCATCAACACCAATCTTATTGAGCCAATAATCATACTCTAGATAAGGGTCTTGATTAAACTCTAAATGCAGAAACTGGTTCTCATTACGGTATGTGTATGGATGGACCTAGCAAAAACATTATACAACGTGAAGTTTAATAAAACAAATCAATGTTGATAGCTAGAGAGTAGAGACAGAAGTTTTAGTCCTACACACAAACCTGAAGATTACGTGAATGTGCTCTCGCAACTAAATCTGTTGGTGTCATGAGACGGTTATTGTTCACAGGAACAATTGTGTCTTTCCATGGACCAATCCCAATTACATATGGTTTAATGTAATCCAAATATGCGTCTGATGTGATCTCTGCGTAAGTCTGCATTCACATTCATAACCTTATGTATAAGCAATTTTGACATAATGAGAAAGGAAAAAAATGAATATATAAAAGACCTTATTAGTGTCTTCGGTAAGAATAGTGACATCATCGATCAAGAACAATTTTGGTGAGTCTGTCATGCTTGAAATGTAAACTAGCGAAGTTGCTGCAAAAGACTGAATAAATATTGGCTGTTTTAACCAATCTTCAGACATATATGAGCCTTTGTATCCATATTTCTCCAAAGTTTCCACAAATTTATCTTCAAATTTTTTACCATCCGCCCATTTCACCTGCAGAAGTTTCCATACAGAGTAAAACATCCTCTCCATTTGTTATCATTAGTGACAAAAAGTTGAAGCTATGATTATGGTTTGCTTACTTGCTGATTTATAAAAACCGGATTCTTGATCTCTGGATATATCCCAACTACTCTAGGTGCATCCAATGCTATCGAAATATACTCGTCGAAGGTAATAATCGGGAATTTACCATTGTATTGTTGATCCCTGAAAGGATACCTCTGCTTTGCACCAAGTGTTTTCAGCTCTTTGAGAGTAAAATCAACTGTTCTTGAAATGTTCAATCCCATAGTTAAAATTTGAAAAAAATGAATTATACCAAACAAATGTTAATGGAGTGTTATTAGTTACCAGTGAAGAAGCCGGTCATGTTCATTCCTTGGACTTCATAAGTCCTCTTACGGTCTGCAAACTCCTTATGGTCTGCAACATCGGTTGTATTATCCAGATTAACATCGTGGTGACATATAAGTACACCGTCTTTGGAAGACAAAATATCTGTTTCAATGAAATCTGCACCCTCCTCAATGGCCCTCTGCCATCAAAACAACCTTGTGAAACCAGACAAAATTAGTGTAAAGGTAGAAACTTTTGTGTAGATCTAATACCATATATGCAGGAGCAGTTTCTTCAGGCAACTCTCCGTTTGATCCTCTGTGTGCAAGGTTATATGGACGAGAAGTCTGAAGCGATTTCTTGGTAGCATGTTTTTCTTCACTTGGGAGACGATACAATGGCCTTGAGGCACAATTAGCAACCAACAATGACAGTAAAAGCAATGGTAGAAAATCTGCAAAAATTATAACAAAAATTGCTTAAACAAAGAATCAACTTATAGACATAGAAACAATGGAGATTTGACACTTACACTTGAAGACCATGACTGAATTGAGCTAGAAAAATTCCTCCAACGACCAAACTGCAAGCATCCAACATTTATATAGATAGACCAGCTTATCTTTAGAAGATTTAGCCAAAAAATCGTAACAACCCAATCGCCATAAGAATATTCCACTGAGAAATCTAGTATGCCACTTGTTTAGTTTGCAGCTTATCGTTGTTTGAAAGAATATTCTTCTATTCACAAGTTTTGAAAGAAAGCATCTTTGCTCTTTTGATCCTTTGTTAATTTACTTATGAACATGCTAAAATTCAATCGCACTTTGTAAAACATCTCTGGTTGAATGAAATAGTAGATGATAAATTGCAATTCAGAAGTGGTTGTGAATGAAAAATAAACTCTTTATAGCATATAATAAAATCCCAAGACACAAAGCTTGATCATATCACATTGATGAAATCGGAAACATGAAGACCAGTTCTAGAGAAATACAAGAGTTTTGAGAAAGTGAAAACTAAGCGAGGCTCTTTCATCTTTGATCAGACTGCCATGAGATCACCATAGCTCCGCATGAGAAAGACTCCTCCTGCAAACATCCCAAGTGCTCGAAGAAGTTTCTGCAACCAAAAAGAAATTCGTATGAGAATGTTTCCAATAGAGAGATTCCGATCCAAATACTTCAAAGGCATCCACTTGTGATTGATAAACCCTAAATCTCAGAGAGATCCAAACATTCCCAAATTCCCATTCGAACACACAATTCCATAAGAACGACAAAAGAATCAAATTGTACGCGCTCAATTTGGAAACCCTAAACCGAAATTCAAAACCGCTGTAGAACTCCTTAAATTCAGTCGAGGACCTATGATCTAATCATGAAACATACAAGAGAATCGAGACTTCGATATTCAATTGAGAATCAACTCGGAATTAAACGACAGAGAGAACCAGAGAGAAGGTAGGATAGTTTACCATGTTCACGGCCCATTTTTGTTCGTCGTGAACCTCAGAGTGCCAGAAAGCTTTAAGCTTGTCGAGTGAGACAACATTGTTCACCATTGTTGCTGCTAAAAATCGAAACTTTGATCGTCTGGTCTCGGAGACTAGGGTTTTTAAACGTCGAATTTGGGATCGGGAAATTAGTCGGTCACTTCCAATTATCTTTGTTAAGGGTTTAGGGTTCTGTAAATTACCAAACTAACCTTTACTAATATACTAACCGGTTAAAAATGATGTGATTTGGATTGATTTCAACCGGAGAAGAGTTAACCAATCGTTGAACGACACGTGTATAACACAATCCTATTCATAGCAGTCTCAAAACTTGTGTGATCTACAAGCGCTTGGTTCCTCCATTGAAGAAAAAGCTTTGACAAAACCAGAGAGATAATGGCGGCTAAACTAATCTGTTCGTCTTTAACAGTGCATTCAATGGCGAACAAGAAACCTTCACCTTCTGCTGCAACAAGAACAATAACCTCAAAGAAGGTAAAAGTTGAAAATCAATTTATCTTCATAAATTTCCCAAAATCTAATCACTTTGTTATGTTTGCCAGAGTACAGCGACTCCACAGGTGAAACTACTGACAAGAGTTGAGCAGCTTAAGCTTCTGACCAAGGCCGAGAAAGCAGGACTTTTGTCTTTAGCAGAGAAATCAGGTTTCTCTCTATCAACCATCGAGCGTCTTGGATTGCTGACCAAAGCAGAGGAGTTCGGCGTTTTGTCTGCCGCAACAAACCCGGAAACCCCTGGAACGTTATTCACTTTGAGCCTCGGTTTACTCCTTCTTGGACCGGTTTGTGCATATGTAGTTCCTGAAGATTACACTTGGGAAGTAGTGGTTCAGGTTCTTGTGGCTCTGCTCTCTGTTCTTGGTGGCTCTGCTGCTTTTGCTGCTTCTGGTTTTGTCTCCAATTTGCAGAAATCTGATTAGCCCGCTCGGTTTTTTTTTGTATCACATTTATTTACCCCGAGTAGCAAGAGACTTTTCTGCATTTAAGATGAAAACTTTATAATGTATTTGATCTACATTTGTAGGGTATCAACTCATTTTCACTATTTCTATCTATGTAAATGGTTTCATATACAGAATCCAAGAGAAACGTTTTGAATTTCAATAAGTGTAGTTCATTATTAGAGAAAGCTTTCTCATTAGGCTCTCTACAACATAGGCAATTAGTATCTCAAAAGCAAAACAAGAAAGAAAAAATAAACTACGGCATCCAGAGACCGTATACAACATCGTATACCACGGCAGAGATCAGCGCAGAAACCGCCCACCGATTCGGCAATACGTATGGAAAAAGGACAACGTGGTTCAGATGATGAATGAGAAGAAGACTTTTGACGTCTCGGACTTCGTTAAGGTTTACTTGACTACCACAGAGGAGGAGGATTTGAACACGCGTGGTGGAGGCTACATCAAATTGATTGGGCATGATAATATCAAATTTGAGGTTTATGTTGTTCGGATTCAGTTGGTCCTTGTGGTTGGTATATAGATTTAGGAGTTTCTTCTTAATGGCATTGGAATTTCAACTTTAGTTTTAGGGTTCGTATCTAATTTCAAGGCTGACAAGATAACTTGTAGGTGGGAATTCTGGATTCTAGATTTGTTGCAGTTAAAGTTTCTCAATTGGAAATTGAATCTTGATTTCTGCAAGCTTGAAATTTTAGGCTTTAGTGTTTGACCAACAATTAACATGTGTGATCTTGTGATTGCTTGCTTTTGACTCATCTAAGGCTCTAGGCGAATGATATATGGCCAAGTACTTTTATTTCTAAAGGTGTACGCTTTCTTATCAAGTGTGGACTGAATGAATCTTCGATTGGGATGTCACTGAGTGAAAATTGTGGTCATAAGCTAGTGGACTAGTTCATTTCCTTAGATTATCGAAACTGGCTCGTGTAAGGAAGATATTGGTGATCTCTAGTTTGGTGTTGAAGTTGGTTGCTTGCCATTATCGCAAAGCAACTTGTTCAAACCTTTGGTGAGTAGTTAATTTTACTGGTTTAAAGCTAGCTTTGGTATAAAACATTGGGAATAACCTGAATGACAATGTGGTGTGCTTCACAGGGACTTTGTTATCTTGGGGAACAGGAGGTCACTTGACAGGCCATGTAATGGTAGGTTCCTTCTTCTCAATCAATATCTTTGGGCTTGTGTGATTGAGAGTGTTGGTTGGGTGAAAATGCAGCTATCTGGTAAACAAACAAGACTCCAATGGACGACTTAACGCAGCTATCTGTTGTGCTCCTGCGTTGGCTCTTGGTACTTGGGGTCTACTAGAAGGCAAGAAAGTAAGTCAGAAGTGATCACTTGTTGTTTATTTATCTTGTTTTCAGTTCTTGTCTAATGTCTGGTTATTATTACATGGGGTTTCTTGCAGGCAACGGGTTACCCTGTTATTATGGAGAAACTTGCGGCTACTTGTGATGATCACAAGAGGGATATAACTTTGGCTGATGAGACAAAGAAAACTGTTGTGGTGTCCCTTTGGAATGATCTAGCAACTGGCATAGGCCATGAACTGCTAGACATGGCTGATAATCACCCTGTTATCGCGATTAAGTCTCTCAAAGTTGGAGATTTTCAAGGTAAGTCTTGATTTTTTGTTTGAAGTCAAAATACTAATTGGCCGCTTGTTAAATTGTCTACTATCAGCAGAAGCAATGTGGTGATAAATCCTGATTCTCCAGAAGCTACAAAGTTGAAATCTTGGTATGATGCTGAAGGGAAAGAGACATCTATGTCTGCTATTGGCTCTGGAATGGGTTCTTCTGCCAACAATGGATCAAGATCCATGTATTCTGACAGAGTTTTTCTCTCTCACATCACAAGCAACCCCTCTTTAGGTGAGGAGAAGGTACTTAAAACACTCTTACATATTAAGCTCTGGTAGAAAGAAAAGTTGATTTATGCGTCTTCTATATGTGTTGCAGCCTGTATTCTTTAGTACTAGAGCTTACATAAGCTTCATCAAGCCAGACCAGACAATGTGGTACCGTGCTTGCAAGACCTGTAACAAGAAAGTGACTGAAGCAATGGACTCTGGTTATTGGTGTGAAGGTTGTCTGAAAAAGGATCAAGAATGCAGCTTAAGGTAAGATGATAGTGAGATTCATAGAAATCTCACTCAAGAATAGATATTAGATCTTGTTTGTTATGTTCTTCTTTAATCATGTGTACTTATTGTGTGATCAGGTATATAATGGCGGTGAAAGTCTCTGATTCAACAGGTGAAACTTGGTTTTCTGCATTCAATGATGAAGCAGAGAAGATTATTGGCTGCACAGCTGATGAACTCAATAATCTAAAATCAGAGGTAAGAAAACTACAACCATACTAGAAAACAACTGGAACACATTCCTATTTCTCCATGTTTTGATTTAAGATGCGATGTTATGTTTGGTTTTTGCCAGGAAGGTGAAGTGAATGAGTTTCAGACAAAAGTGAAAGAAGCTACTTGGTCATCTCATCTCTTCCGGATTAGTATAACAGTGAGAAGAGACAGAGGATAACTGTAAGAGGTGTTTCTCCAATTGACTTTGCTGCTGAAACAAAAAGATTATTGCTCCAAGACATGTCCAAGAACAAGACATCTAAGTAATTCTAACCTCTTACATGTTTTGTCTGGCTTTTTGTTGAACTAAAAGTCCCAAACTTTGTAAGTTTTTCTGCAGTCGGTTAAATTAGTTCATGTTATTAAAGGATCCTTTGTTAATTTACTTATGAACCAGCTAAAATTCAATTGCTTTATCGATCATGAGAAGCCAACTTTGTAAAACATCTCTGGTTTAATGAAATTGTGGATGATAAATTGCAATTCAGAAGTGGTTTGTGAATTAAAAAACAAACTCAATACAAGAGTTTTGAGAAAGTGAAAACTAAGAGAGTTGATGAAATCAGAAACATAAGACCAATTCTAGAGAAATACAAGAGTTTTGAGAAAGTGAAAACTGAGAGTTGATGAAATCAGAAACATAAGACCAATTCTAGAGAAATACAAGAGTTTTGAGAAAGTGAAAACTAAGGGGGGTGTATTCAATAAAGGATTTGAAATGATTTGTATTAAAAAGATAAATCTTATGTTATTCAAACATGAATTTTAAAAATCTTTTTAAAATCAAGTGTTATTGGATTAGTGATTTTAAAATCTACAATCAAATCCACTGTTATTGGAAACATTTTAAGTTGTGGATTTGAAAAGACTTGAGTGATTTTTGGTGGAATTTCAGAGAACATCTTAGTTAAAAACTCAAATATCTAAATCCCATGGTTTATGTGGGATTTGAGAGAGTTTTGATATCAAATTCCCTAATTCACCAAAAATCACCAAAATCATCTCAAAACTCATTAAAAACTCAAATCACTCCAAATTCTTTCTTCAATACACCCCCCTAAGAGAGTTGATGAAATCAGAAACATAAGACCAATTCTAGAGGAAACTCTTATACAAGAGTTTTGAGAAAGTGAAAACTAAGAGAAAGACTCCTCCTGCAAACATCCCAAGTGCTCGAAGAAGTTTTTGCAACCAAAAAGAAATTCATATGAGAATGTTTCCAATAGAGATATTCCGATCCAAATACTTCAAAACATGAACTTGTGATTGATAAACACTTTTCAATGAACCCAAAACATTTGAAATCTGATAGACTTTAACTCTAATGGAGTTGACTTTAACTTCACTAACCAATAACACCACCTAAATCTCAGAGAGACCCAACATTCCCAAATTCCAATACCAACACACAATTTCATCATAAGAAAGACAATCAGATTTCAAAGTTTCAAGTGAAACATACAAGATAATCGAAACTTTGATACTCACTTGAGAAACATGACTATCCTTCCTTCCCAACCGATGATGACTCCCCAACATCAGATTCATCATCGTTTCCATCAGATACATCTGAACAAAGATTTTTATTATTACCAGAAAAAAGTCAAAGAAAAAAATTATTACTAAATTACTAGAAACAATTACCTGCAGTAGACTTGTTTTTGGACTTCCTAGCAGCTTCCCTAGCTTTTTAGCTTCCTCACGTTCCAATACCATTTGAGCATTTTTTGCTTCACCGATCTGCAGGAAAGCTTCCCTCATTTTTTTATCATCGTTCGAAACCTCTAGGAGATCATAGCTAATCCAGCCATCAACGATTTCATTTAGCCTTGCTAAGTGAGACTCCTTCATTGAAACTGAGGATGATTTATTTCTGAGAAGTGACATCTCATCCTCAAGCAAAGAGATGTCAAACTCACCCTTCACCTTAGAATGTTCTTCAAAGAGGATCTTACCAAACTTGAGTTTGAACGAGTAATCACCTACAACAAAATATTCAACAAAATCGGAAACAATCTCACGAAGGGGCATAAATAAACCACACAAGCCGTTGTTTATGGCCCTTATAAAATATTGGTGGTTTGGTCTGGTGTGTACATTTTGTGCATTTTACTTTATTTACTTGTGTATTATTCATGTATATTAAGTTGTTTTTAACATGCATTCTTTTGTAAAATCACATGTAATTATGATATTTTGTAGGTTTATAAATTAATTTAAACAGAAAAAACTTACAAATGTTAGTTTATTTCTAATAAGATATATATATATATATATATATATATATATATATATATATTAAATTAATTTTATAGTTTTAACATCTTTAAAACGAATACAATTGAACTATATAGTATTATAATAAACTAGAAGTAACTTAATTTTATTGATAATAAGCTAAAAAATTTATTTGTTAAATATCATATTTTTATATTTAGTGAAATTTATAGGGTCTTTTTTTCCTCAAATGAAACAATTGTATTGTGAAAACATGATTTCGTAGTCTCTTTTTTTTGGGCTGTTAATTAGTAGTATTGATTTTTTGAGCAAAGCTATCCAAAGTTCTTGGGAAGATCATGATCAATCTCAAAGGAATGTAATCAGAACCGGGAATATAAATATCTTAATCGGCTACATTCTGTAAAAAGTCTCGTTAGTCTAGTGGTTTAATTGTTAAAAGGTACTATAAGTCATCTTAGTTCGATTCCGCATTGTAACAGTTTTTACATGTTTTGATTTTTTTTCCTTTGTTCACACAATAATTTGGCCCAAACATGAATTTGGGCTTGTGGCCCAATATTTCCTGCGCCGGCTCGGGGTCAAAAATAATTGACTAATGGATTCAATTTTTCTTTTGAGCCTACTATAACAATCTCAAAAAAGATTGACGACGTCTCTCGCGTTTTTGTAACCAAACCAGTACACTCGGAGGTTAAATCTCGGTTTAAGTGTTTAACCAATCCAATATCTGAGACCGGTTTAATAGTCCTTCCCCTTTCGATTCGAAGTTTTGGTTTCATCTCCTTTGCCCAAATCGAAGCGAAGGTCTCTCATCAATGGCGAAATCAGTGTCGACGGCGGCTTCCTCGCTTGTGCAAAACCTTAGGCGGTACATCAAAAAGCCATGGCAGATCACCGGACCTTGCGCTCACCCAGAATACCTCGAAGCTGTTCCCAAGGCGACGGAGTATCGTCTCCGATGCCCCGCTACGATTGATGAAGAGGCGATCGTGCCCTGCTCGGATCCAGATACCGTATACAATATCGTATACCACGGCAGAGATCAGCGCAGAAACCGCCCACCGATCCGGCGATACATATTGAAGAAGGACAACGTGGTTCAGATGATGAATGAGAAGAAGACTTTCGATGTCTCGGACTTCCCTAAGGTTTACTTGACTACCACAGTCGAGGAGGATTTGGACACGCGTGGTGGAGGCTACCAGAAATAAACAGGTGATTTGGGTCAATAAGATTATCAAATTTGAGGTTTAAGGCTCTAGGCGAATGCTTTTGAATTTAGGAATTAGGAATCAAGCTTTGTTTTATAGCTAAGTGCAGTATTGGATTCTGGTTTGATTGCTTAAGTTGTACACTGTCTTACCAAGGTCTCTCCTAGTGACTTAATGACTTGTGGATTTGGATGTCACTGAGGTGGATTTAGACTAGTCCATTTTCCTTAGATTGATAGAAAATTGTCCCTGTAAGGAAGATTTGGTGTTCTCTAGTTAGATGCTGAACTGGGTTACTATCTTTACCTGAACCATATTCTCGAGAATGAATCATTGTTATATCATTTCGATTCTACCAAATTTTTAGTTAGAACTTATGAAACCACGGGACTATAGTAAGCTTTTTATAGTCTTTATGTTAGTTTTTGAAGTATCTTTCTCCCTTTGTGAGGTTAGACTCCAAACATTGATTTACAACTGATGGAGGAAGAACATGATTGTATCTGCAAGGAATTTTTTTGACCCTTTTTCCTGCAAAATTAGTTGCAATAGAATTAGAGTTAGATTTGAGTTGAAAATAATGGTTTTTGTTGATACTTGATATGGTGCATTGTGTCCCTAACGTCATGTTTGTTGTAGATTTTTTCTAGTTTCCCTTCTGCTGTAGCTTTCCAGAGAGTATGAGCTGTCATTTTGGTCTTGACTAGATGAACTTTGTGATGCTCGATTAGTTTAGTTGTGACAATGCAGATGGGTTACTGGAATACTATTGTAACTGTATGAAGGAATGGGAAGTTGGAAAATCATACTCCCTTATCAGCTTCCTCACAATTTGACATCAGAATCATGCGTAACCTTTTGAATAGTTATAGCTAGCTGATGAGTCCTACCAGTTAGATAATGTCTCCTTATGTTCTTCAGCCTACAATCTAATACTTGCTGCAACAGTTTAGTAATTCAAATATTCATGTCGTATTTGCTTTATTGCCTAAACGCAGAAAAGCCTCCATCTCCAAAAATACCCATTGAAATGGCTAATACTATTTGAGTTTCCATTTATCGAGATTCGAGACTGAATATGTATCCTTCTTTGCAGGTTTTTGCTCATCTCGTCTTTCTCCTGTAACCTACCGATGGGCGAAAGACTGCGCGTGACATATCTCTAGCAACAAAAAAATCTCTCCCTTGTTTGATTTATTCAATAAGATATCTAGTAGCTTTATGAACTACAAAACACTTCATTTTCCTTCACAAGAACCAGATTGTTGTTCAGTTGTATTCCCTATGTTTATGATGAACCCGTGATTGTTTCAAGTCTGACTGATTTAGAAATGGATAATAATGTAATACAAAGAGAGAAACAGTTAGTAGTCTCTGTGTTCTTGGGGACCCTTTCTTCTCTGCATCAGTGACTAAGAGAAGAAGAAGAAACAGAAACTGTGGAAAGCCGTTATGCCAACTCTATGTCTCCATCAATGCATGTTGTAATTTATGAATTTTACCCCAATCTACTGTTTCTTTCACCTTTTTGCTCCCGTCTCTTGCAAGGACATGTCACTGTTTCTCTCTCTCGGCATGAGCCTTTTGCATTTACTTCCGTACAGACCGAGAACGACGGCTCAGGATTAAAAGAAAAAGAGAGCTGTGTTATGCAATTTGGGTCCAAAATGTGTCTGTGTGTCTAAGTGACATGCATACGTCATCACATGCACGTATTCCAACTTTTGGTCTAAACTGGGACACATGAGCGTTTCAATTGCACTCTGGGTTACCATTTTGCATTCATTGTGGTTACAGCTAGGTTGTGTCACCAAACCTTAATAAGATTCTCTAGCGATCAGAGAATATGGTCCGGTTTGCAGTGGTAAAAGATAAGCACGGTTTACTTGAAATTGATTGTGGTTTTAGATCACTATGGAGGAAAAATCAGTTTGAAATCATTCGTTTGAGCTTCTAAGTTCTAACCGCTTATTTCAAGTCCAAGTAGTATTATTCAATATTGGTAACCGAATTAAAGGTTCATTTTTAACCGCTACCACTAGTAAGTGATCTACCGCTAGTACATGTAATGTATGTGACCTCTATGAAATTGAAATCGTTCATACTTAACAATTTATAGGAAAAATGTTAAAACTATCTTCTTGTATATGCTTCAATCGTCTTGAAGATAAACATAATCCAACGCACTAAAATGTAATAAATTTTTAAACTGATGTCCCATCATCGTTATCTACTTCATCCGAACTTAGGTCCCAACTAGAGAAACTTCTCAATCTCTGATTCTCTGATACACATACGCAGTGGTGTGGTCTACTTACACACACTTACATAAGCAGCTAATAATTATTCGTAAATTGTGGTCCGATTGTTAAGACGTTAAGGAGAAAATTAAAACAGTTTATTATTAAATACAGTGAAATCTAGCAGTATGGTAAATTGGTAATAATTCACTCATTGATACATGTAAGCACATTGTCATTGTTATGGAAAGTACAAGAATCCTTATGAAATTTGATAATTTATTTTTGTTCTATGAAATTCTGATATTGTGATAGACTGAGTGTATAAAATAATGGTCTGCCATATATGCACATAGTGGTCCATGAATCTGTATATATGCATATTACATATCTAAGATGCTTTTAACAAAAAAACATGTACTCTTTAATTTGGTCCATCCTCCATCTAAGACCAACCACTCTAGCTGTCAATCTAAATGCCTAGTATAATATGTACAATATAAGCATATATATCCTTATTATAGAACTTAATAGGGATCATCACATTCACATTAATAAAATCAAAAGGAAACCCTAATTTCTACAAGTTTTGGGTCTCAACATTTACTGATGTACAGTACATATTGAATTTCCCATATACGTTCCAAATGTATAAGTAATTGGTTCTTAGTAATTTTAAACTATGGTTTCGAATGATATATAAGAAAGAGACATAGTTCAAAGTTACTGTAAGTACTTTACTTATGAAAGTATTTTCTATTGAATGGAGTCCAAGATATCTTTAAGAATGATCGTATGCATCAATCAAGAGTCAAGACTACACATTCTAAAGAAGAAATACGAACTTGCAGTCTCTAAATAAGTAGATATACATGTATACACATTTTGATTATATATTTGTGTGTATATTTTAATTTATTACCCACTATTAGTATAAGTGAATGAAACCATAGCATCTTTCTTTCCGTTAAAAAACATGTGGATAAGAGTGTCTATAGTCTATACACTACATATATTGCTCTTTTTATCCTTGTATATAATTCTTTTCATACCCCACTAAAACCCTAGGGATTGGAGTATATATATATATAGGTATCATTTCTTGCTCAGCCTCAACCATATATTATACACTTTTAGTTTTAGGTAACGAGTGGAAAAAAAGAAAAGAAAAAAACTGTTCATCATTTAGGTTTTTATCATTTTCTGCAACCTACTCGACGAATTAAGAACTCACTCGATCTGTCTAAACCCAACGACTTCAAGCTTGCCAGTTTTTCTGTGTAAGATTAATCATCTTCTTTTTTTTTGTAGTTAATTAAATTGAAACCTATGTTTCCTCTTTGGATCCTCGGATCTTCGGAATGTTTCAATTGTATCTATTTCTATTTGAGTCACTTTTATTTGATCATTTTTAAGTAACACAAAATATCTTAGAAATTTAATTGATGTGCAGTTCGAGTAATATACTTTTCCTTGATCTTGATAGGTTTTTGTTATATATTTTGATTTCATCTCAAGTGATCACACTTCCCTAAAACCCACAAATATTCCGAATTTGAACACTATTGTGATTACAACATTGATTTTGTTCTTCTGTTTTTGTTTTCTGATCGATAATATAAACTTATAGAATCAATGGAGATGAGATTGAGAGAGGACATGGGAATAAAACAAGAAGATCAGAAGAGTTCTTTGTCATTGTTGAAGCAACGATGGAATAATCCGAGGATCGTGCGAGTCTCCCGAGCATTCGGAGGCAAAGACAGACACAGCAAAGTGTGCACAGTTCGTGGTCTCCGAGACAGGAGGATAAGGTTGTCGGTGATGACAGCGATTCAACTCTACGACCTTCAAGAACGTTTAGGGCTGAGTCAGCCTAGCAAAGTCATTGATTGGCTCTTAGAAGTTGCCAAAAACGACGTCGATTTGCTTCCTCCTTTGCAATTCCCACCTGGGTTTCCCCAACTTAACCCTAATCTCACCGGCCTTGGAGAATCATTTCCCGGGGTCTTCGATCTTGGAAGAACCCAGAGAGAAACTTTGGATCTTGAGAAAAGTAAATGGGTTAATCTTGATCATGGGTTTGATCACAGCGATGATCTCCATTTCTCGAATTCAATCCAGAGCAACAAGCTTTCTTTCCCTTCTAATACTTCGTCTAGTAGCTCTTATCACTACAACCTTGGACATCTCCAACAGTCACTACTAGACCAATCTGGTAACGTCACTATTGCATTTTCCAATAACTATAATAACAATAATCTCAATCCTCCGGAGGCGGAAACTATGAGTTCTCTATTCCCAACAAGGTACCCTTCGTTTCTCGGTGGTGGTCAACTTCAACTCTTTAGTAGCACAAGCTCACAGCCAGACCATATCGAGTAGTTCCAGCTGCAGCTTGTTTTTAGACGATCTTCAACAAGTTGAAGAATTCAAGTCATGTGACATGTAAGGCATGTACTATATGTACATAGAGAGGGAGATTTATATGGTTTAATGGTTATTATTGTTGGATTGATTAATCGTCACATGCGTGTATTTATAATACAGTCTTATTAAAGACTAGATTTTAACCCGCGGTACACCGCGGGGCTATATTTTCTTAAAAAAAATCAAAATATAATTTGTTTGATAGATTATTTTGATTGTTAATTTTAGGATTTCACCCGTGGTATACGATCTTTTATAAATATCAACCCAAACCCGTCCCATCATATTACCCGTCCCGTGAAATTAAACATTATTTAGTTATTTTTCTTTTTAATAATACTTTTATTTAAAAGCTATATAATTCAAGTCAATTTAAAAATTTCTTTTAAATGGTTCCCATAAGATATATATACATATATATTAAATTTGTATAGAGTTGAAATAATATTAATATTACAAATTTTTTATATAATTTAAATACTATAAATATTTTTAAAAATATGTAATATATATTTTTTGTTATTGAATAAGAGGATATTATGTGTAAGAAATGTAGAAAATAAGAGTTTAATATTTTTATTATGGAGTCGCAAAAAAAATCTTTTATTTCTATACATGTTATTCATTTATTAATAATAAAAGAAAACAAATCCTTTAAATTAGATATTAACTAAAATAAACGCACCATAATTACTTATTAAGTAACAACCAATAAATTTCACCAAAAAATAGGTAACAACCAATAAATTCTAAACGCAGTAATTAAAGAATGAGATATTAAAAAAAATATATCAAATAAGATATAAGAATCTTAAAATAATTGAACATCTAAATAATTTAATTGTTAGTGTCGATTTTAATGCCTTCATTAATGTAGATTTTTTTTTTTTACAGAGAAATATTTCCTAAAGATTATCACATTAATGACTCAGAAAATTAAGGAAGATATGAATTTATGATTCTCGAAATCGTATTGGTAATATCTTTAAGTAATATTTTTCAAATTTAAATAATTAATGCCAATGGCATTCATCCGTAAATAAGGTCCAACTCCAGGATTTATTTGCTAAAAGTCATTCAAAAATGTTAATTTTCTTTTTAATAATACTTTTATTTAAAAGCTATATAATTCAAGTCAATTTAAAAATTTCTTTTAAATGGTTCCCATAAGATATATATACATATATATTAAATTTGTATAGAGTTGAAATAATATTAATATTACAAATTTTTTATATAATTTAAATATTATAAATATTTTTAAAAATATGTAATATATATTTTTTGTTATTGAATAAGAGGATATTATGTGTAAGAAATGTAGAAAATAAGAGTTTAATATTTTTATTATGGAGTCGCAAAAAAAATCTTTTATTTCTATACATGTTATTCATTTATTAATAATAAAAGAAAACAAATCCTTTAAATTAGATATTAACTAAAATAAACGCACCATAATTACTTATTAAGTAACAACCAATAAATTTCACCAAAAAATAGGTAACAACCAATAAATTCTAAACGCAGTAATTAAAGAATGAGATATTAAAAAAAAAATATCAAATAAGATATAAGAATCTTAAAATAATTGAACATCTAAATAATTTAATTGTTAGTGTCGATTTTAATGCCTTCATTAATGTGGATTTTTTTTTTTTACAGAGAAATATTTCCTAAAGATTATCACATTAATGACTTAGAAAATTAAGGAAGATATGAATTTATGATTCTCGAAATCGTATTGGTAATATCTTTAAGTAATATTTTTCAAATTTAAATAATTAATGCCAATGGCATTCATCCGTAAATAAGGTCCAACTCCAGGATTTATTTGCTAAAAGTCATTCAAAAATGTATATATAGATTATATAATAGACGCCAAATCTGATGCGAGCAAAGGTACATATTCACATGTTGTGATTGAGTTGGTAGAATATCTAATTAATTGTACCGCTACAATAAATATAAATATTATCTCTCATAGAAATTTTCATAATTACTATATGTAAAGTTTGCAATGCCTAAAATGCTATAACACAGGCCTCATTGCACGCCAAGCCCTAGCTTGTACTCATATGTCCACAACCACATGCATGTGTAGTAAAGCCGGAACACAACACATATAATATCTACGAATAGAAATATACACACACACAAATATATGTTGCATGTATATTTAGGGCTGAACATGTAAACTAATCGAACCGAATATTTATTTTTTACATTTCCGAAATCAAATCTGCCGCAAAAGCATTCTTGAACATATTGCAAGGATTTAGGACAGCTAAAACGTTTTATCCCGAAAATTCATAGTTATCAATGATTTGTTTTAGTATCTTACCGGTAATTGGATTAATGTAAAGTGAGTAGTATCATATACTCCAACCAACTACTGGCTATATAGAGATAGATTTAGGTGGTGAGTATTGCCTTATGGGGATTGGCGAATGAGAGAAGGAAAATGAGAAGAAGATGAGGCAGTTAAGACAGCAACTGAATCTACAGTCAAGTCAAGCACTGATCCCTATATATCTTCTTTTAATTATTCTTCTTTTTTCTTTTCTCTTTTGTCTCCTCTCCTTTAACTGTCCATTAATTCTCTATCTCTCTTTCTCTCACACATAATATACCATGGTAAATTCGAAAACATAAACTTTTTCTTTGATCAACAAAAAAAGAAGAAAAAGATTCTTTGTATTCTTCTTTTCTTTGTATGCGTTTTAAAATATACTCCAGACAACGTTTAAGATGATCCACTAGTTAGTGAAGGTTTGCTACTGCGTACCTTGTTTTCGTAGGCATGACCTATCACAATACATTTTTTTTTTTTCGTAAAATCTTTGAATTGCATAAGAATATTTATATCAAATTGGATATAAATGGTCCACATGACTACAAAATTTGCTTCCATCAAGGGCATGGTTCAAATTTAGGTGAGGAACAAAATAATATAGAGACAAAAAGGAATTCACACGTTGTTTCATTTTCACACAAATCACTCACTTACTTATACATCCATAGGCATGCGCAAATCCTTCTTCTTTTTCTCCCTTTTCCCCCACCTATCTTCCCTTTGTTGTTGCTACTTCTTTATCTTTACCTTATTTCACATCAATTATATACACAGTATAAAACCACTGTTATATTTTACAAATAACTAATTTCAACTTTGGACGTTTAATCTTCCATATATTTTGTAGATGAAGAACTAGTAGATGTGTAGAATTACTGCGATCAAATACTGTATCTATAGTATTACTATACGCTTTATAAGAAAAGAAAAAAATTACTATGTAGCTCAGTCGTCTAAAGGTCCAGTTGATGCAATTAGTACTGGAGTACTGGGGCTCCTACTAAAAGGATATATTTGCCTACTTGGGCGAGTCTAAAGGATCAATTGTATCTCATCATAAACAAATGGAAATCAAGATGTATGCCGAATCTTGTAACCTTGGAAATTGGCTCCATGACGTTAAAAATAAGCAAAAAAATTTATTTGAGTGATATATGAGAAAATGTCAACATTAATTCTATTCTGATTTCTGTTGTATTTCATTCTTTTTTGTTAATAAAACAATAGGTAGGGAATAGAGAGATACATTACAAATGTTCTAATAATGATCAAATCTATAAAATTAAATAGGAAGATTATCATTCATTTTTTCATCTTAACATATATCACAATTATTGTCCATTAATCATGACCATATTTATTACTACTAGTTTTTTCACTTTAATGTGTTTTGGTAAGAGATCGGACAAAATTTAAAAGCATATCGGACGTAAATGTTTCATGACTGGATGTTGAACACGTGTAAATCTTATAAGTATACACAAAAAGACTAACTGTTATTAAAAAAATGGAGGTGCGGGGAATCGAACCCCGTGCCTCTCGCATGCGAAGCGAGCGCTCTACCATATGAGCTACACCCCCTTTGTGTTATTAGCTGTCATTGACAATTTATTCATTATTAAAACTATCCGAGAATATCCGCCATTGGATCACACGGGGTCCACACGCATATAATGTCTGATATTCCGAATCGGCTGCTCACATTCCTTAGGTGTATCGGCGTTTGTGCACATGCGTCGCACATGATATCCTTCTCATGATATGAAAATGACATAAGTACCCTTTCCCTTTCTTTTTTTTCTAAAATATTTCCGGCACCTAAAGGAAAGTTGTCTTTAGCTGGACAAGGACGGCATGTCGGAAAATTCCCCGTTTTACATTACCAAACCGAACCGTTCAAGATTTGGTTTCGGTTTACATGTATTAACTGTTTGTAAAATGTATTCGATACTCGGTTCAGTTAGGTTTCGAACAATAAACCGATCGGTTTGGACAAATTAAAATCCCTAGATTACTTCAAATTCTTCTCTCCTCTCTCTCATTCTTTTGCTTGAGCCACAGATCCGTTTCTCCTCCACTTTCTCTCGATTTGTCTTCTTCACTCAGTTTCTCGCTTGTCCTTTGAAAGATCGACACTTTCCGGCGTCCTTTGTCTTCGCACTATTGAAGTCGTCTTTTTCTTCGTTCTTGGTGTGAACCGAAACTAAACTTTTATCTTTTTGCTCTACACGATGAACGATCTTCTTAAGGTGAGAGTTATTTCTTCTTTAGCTCCTTTTAGATATTTTTGTCGAGTTTGAATTGCGTTGATCATCTAATGTGGATGCTAATTTCCAAAATTGAGACTTATTTTTTGATATATGTTCTTGAGGTTTTTGTCTTACATTACTTATGTAATTCAATCATGATTGCCAACCACTGTTAATAATTCTATCTGTTTATTGGATCTCTAAAAATTTAGCTATAAGGGTTTATGTCAGTCGATACTTGTGTTAATTTTGATGACTTTTGTTTATAGGGTTCGTTTGAGCTTCCCCGAGGTCAATCTTCTAGAGAAGGGGATGTTGAACTAGGGGAACAACAAGGTGGAGATCAAGGATTAGAAGATTTCTTCAAAAAGGTAATCTAAATAGAAAGAGTGTATCTAATTGCCCCTCTACCAATTGATGTATCTAAGTGTTTCCTCTTTGTCTTCCTAGGTTCAAGTCATTGACAAACAGTATGATAAGCTAGATAAGCTTCTAAAGAAACTTCAGGTACAAACCAATGACTTTCTTACCTTACGCCTTCAATTATCTTCATGAAACGCTGTGTTATATATAGTATGAATGTGTATGTTGCATCAAAATAAGAGCGAGAACCTTCATTGCAAGTTTGTCTACAATGATTTTTGGAATTTCTTTTAAAGATTTATGATTCTGTGGCGTCTCAGTTGCTCTGTGTTATTTTTATGCGAAATCATATGTTTCAGTTGTGACTTTTCACTGTTACTAACGAGGTTGTTGTTGTAATCCCTATAGGCTTCCCATGAGGAGTCAAAAGCTGTGACCAAAGCTCCTGCCATGAAGGGTAAATTTGTTTATTTGCTACATGTTTTTGTCATGCAAATTTTTCTGGAACTAGTTTTAGCTAGTGATATCATGGAAATTAATCAGGAATTTATTGTCTAGCGTTAGGGTTAGTGTTAATGGCTTTCCATAACCTTACATATGGTTTGGTGTTTTGTGTGTTGCTCCTTATGTAATGGACAGCGATAAAGAAGACAATGGAAAAGGATGTTGATGAAGTTGGAAGTATTGCCCGTTTCATAAAGGGGAAACTCGAGGAGTTGGATAGAGAGGTAGGTTCACTGGATCTTTATCTTCTAATTTTACAGTTGTTGAATTTGTATGTTTCTTTTATATTGATACTCTTTCAAATGTTGTAGAACTTGGCAAATAGACAAAAACCTGGATGTGCAAAAGGATCTGGTGTGGATCGATCAAGAACAGCAACGACACTGTGAGCATTCTTATTTTTCAATAAGATAATTTATTCTGAGCCCTTTGCTTTTTGGGTAGGGTTCAGCTGTTTATTCATTCAAATGTTGTAGAACTTGGCAAACAGATAATGTATATATTCTTTGGTATGACCTTTATGAGCTTTCATTCTGTGCAACAGTTCCTTAAAGAAGAAGTTGAAAGACAAGATGGCCGAGTTTCAGGTAGGAAGGAAAAGATTAACTATTCAAAATTATATGGAAACTGTTATTTTAGTCTAAGATTGTGACTTGTTCTAGGTTCTACGCGAAAACATTCAACAAGAGTATCGCGATGTTGTTGATAGGCGCATTTATACCGGTATGTACGTTGATGTTATGTTATTGCTTTATTTATTCCCTTCTACTTTTTCTTCTCGCTTATTATTTTCTGTGTTTTCCTTGAATTAGTAACTGGGGAGCGGGCGGATGAAGATGTAAGTAATGTAGACTCTGAGTGTTATTATGGTCTCAGAAGTTTGAATAAAACTCATGCCTTACCGTTTCTTGTTTTTCAGACTATTGATGAATTGATTGAAACTGGAAACAGTGAACAGATCTTCCGGAAAGCGATTCAGGAGCAAGGAAGAGGACAGGTTCGAGCTTTTCCGTTTAATTGAGAAGCATATGCTTTGGACATGTTGACATTTTATTATGTGTCATATTATCCATTAATCTTGCAAAATGTTGAATATTCCTCCCAGGTAATGGACACCTTGGCGGAAATCCAAGAACGTCATGATGCTGTCAGAGACTTGGAAAAGAAACTTCTTGACTTGCAACAAGTATGTTGGATTTTATATATTCTTACACGATGAACATCTCTGAACTCGAGTTTGATGCAATCTGTTAATCAAACATTTTTTCTTCGTTTGTTAAGTCATTGTATGGATTCATTCGCGTAAAGACAGATCTAAGAGGTTCCCCTTTTCTTGCAGATATTCTTGGATATGGCAGTTTTGGTTGATGCACAAGGAGAAATGCTTGACAATATAGAATCTCAGGTAATGTAAAGTAAAGAAAGGCCATAAAAATAGAATTATAACTTCTTAAAATATATATTGACCTCAAGTGTGTAAAGTCTAACACCAAGGCACTGTAATAGTAAATAATGATGGGATTTGTGGCAAATATAGGTGTCAAGTGCAGTAGATCACGTGCAATCGGGAAATACGGCTCTTCAAAGAGCAAAGAGCTTGCAGAAGAACTCAAGAAAATGGATGTGTATTGCAATTATCATCCTCCTCATTGTGGTTGCAGTGATCGTTGTTGGTGTTCTCAAGCCTTGGAAAAACAAGAGTGCTTGAGGAAACAAAGAATGTACAAAAAAAATATCAAATCCTTATTCACGGCTTTGAGTGAGAGTGTTTTGTTCATGATGTGTGTTTTTTTTTACCAAGAAACGAACAAACCAAAATTCTATATTCTTTTAATTGGATCAAACAAACCAATTCTCTTTTGAAAGGAGGCTCTTCTGATTATTTCAATTTCTATGTTTTGCGTTGTGTACATGGCATGAAAATATATAATTTATCAATCATCTACTTCACTAATTTTGTTTTCACTCTAAGAAACAAAAAGAAACAACTTCCCCACACAATTGGAGAAGTTGCATAAAACATGTTACCAAGGAGCCAAAGTGTTTTGTATTATTGCAAAGAAAAAAAAAAGAAGCAAATATGTGTTTGTAGTTCTTGTTATAGTTGAAAACACATCAATAGAAAAGATTATTATAATATTCTGTTTAATTTGTAAATTTGAGGGAAATACAGAGAGCATGGAAAAATATTAAAATACCAACACAATTCACAAAATTTTCTAACGCTCAAAAGCTTAATGGAAATTTTTGTTGGGTCAAATATTAAACCCTTTTTTGTGATACAAACTCCTTGTTTGATAGAGGCCATATTATAGTCCACGGGACGGTGAAAACGAAAGCCCAAATAGAACCACAAACAAACGATGATTGTTGGTTTGCTTCTTTTGTCTAAATTTTCTGATCCGAAAACCCATTTCAAACCGATCAATATACTAGATTTACTTTCAACAGTTCATTTATTTTTTCGTTTAAACCGAAAATCAAACCGAATCAGAAGAACTAAGCACAATACAGTCAATACTGCAAGACTGAGGCATATAAAGCTGAAAACTGAAACTAAAGAAGAAAATTAAACAGAGTTTCTTAATAGACAAAGCCACTCTTCCGTCTAGTGATTTCAATTGTTTGGCCAGATAGCGATCTCAGAGTAACCATCTTCGGTAGCACAAGCCCTGAACATACCAGTAGTGTTAAACGGCATTGTGACTTCACCATTGGCAGAGACAGCAACGAGTCCACAGCTTCCTCTGGGAACAGATTGGTTAACAACATAAGCCGCTGCCTTGGTCAAAGACAAGCCTTTATACTCCATGAGTGCAGCCACGTCTCTAGCCACGGTTCCACGGATGATCTCTTCTCCTTTACCTGTGGCTGAGATGGCACAAAGGTGGTTAGCGTATGTTCCTGCGCCAATTACAGGCGTATCCCCAATTCTGCCAACCATTTTGTTGACATAACCGCCCGTCGATGTAGCCGAAGCTAGATTTCCAGCACCGTCCACAGCTACACATCCGACCGTTCCTATTTGGCTGTCACCACAAATGTCCGGTACTTTCGGAGTAGGGACTGTGTAATCCAACTGTTTTCAAGGAATTTAAAGAAGCACACGTTTTGATGAGGCAACAGATGATTATATCATTTCATGAACACAAACCTCAAAAAACAAGAGAGAGAATAAACATATAACCTGGACTCGATTGAATTCTTTGGCCTGCTTCAGCCTAGCAATGTTTTCAGGAGTAATGAAATGGCTAGAATCGACCGTCTCAACGCCCTAGAAAACCGAAATCCATAGAAAGCTTTACAAAGAGTATAGTTTACTAATCAATAGAAGTCAAAGGCTATATATATGGGGATGACAAAGAAAAGAGAGAAGACTCAGGATCACACTGACATGTGCTCTTGCAAAAGCTTCAGCAGCATCGAATGCAAGATATATATGAGGCGTTTTCTCCATGACGAGGCGAGTTAAAGATACCGGATTAACAACAGTGGTCAAGCCGGAGACAGCTCCACATCTTTTGGTATTACCGTCCATAATAGAAGCTTCCATTTCAACAGTGCCTTGTGTAGTTAAGACAGATCCTTTACCCGCATTGAAGTCCGGGTGGTTTTCAAGTTCACGAACCTTACAAATTTCACAGAGACCACTAGAGAGAGTTTATAGAATTCTAAAGTTGGTATTAGTTTCACAGTTTCAGTTTCGTCATCGATTATTCCAAACTCTAGTCAAAATTATCCCATAAAAAAAAAATATGGAGAAAGAGAGGCGTACGACGAGTTCGGCGACGTCCAAGGGAGGCTTGCCGGATTTGAGGGCGGAGACGCCAAGATCGAGGCAGTGTCGGAGGGCGGTCTCACGAGGGATACGTCGCTCGTCAGGGAGATCGATCGGAATATCTCCAGCGCCGCCGTGTAGCGCTATCGCCCACTCCACCATCGCCCGCCGGATAACACGTTGGCTCACTTTCCCAGACTAATTTAAAGCCTTTGAGTTTACACATCACTAGATAGATCTTCTTTTCAGATGTAAATAAAAATGATATTACCTTTACAATTAAAATTACAAGATTTTTATTAGTAATACCAAAAATATGTGTTGTTAAAATCTTCTGTTTCTTTCTTCAATTTAGCAGTTTGTCTATCAAATCTAATTTAACCTTTTGAATGAATTAGATTTACAAAAAATGAAAAAAAAAATCAGCTACTCTAGTGTAATCTTGAGAGGTCCCATGATTCAATCTTCCTTTGCCTCCAAAACGCCCTAAACGCAAATATTAGATAACAATGATCAGGCTTTAATGTCCTAAATTTTTTTTTAAAAAAAGTCTTGGTAGTAATATAGAAAAAAAGTGAGAAAGAAATCATTTTGGTTACCTGTATGATCATGATGGCTGCTTTCTTATGTAAGAGCTCATTGTAACCTCGGCAACCAAAAGTCTGAACGCACTTGGGGCAACCAGTTTCAGCTGGGCATTTGCCGCAAGACTTTAAGAGTTCACCAGCATCTTTTAGAAGCTCTGTGAAGAACGGACGGATCTGCAGAACGAAATGTTCAAGAATCACCAGCATCCATATTCAACAACTTAAAACTTGATAAATCTTGAGAATTTACTTTCACTATTTTACTTTCATTTACCTTGGCGGATATGCCAGTTCCTCCAGGATGACGATCATACAGTAAGATTCTTGCTGGGAAATAGCGTTGCTCTTGCGGATTTGGACATTCTGGAGCTATGTCTGAATAGTTGCATGTCACTTTTACTGGAACAACGTTGACAAGAGCGTGACAAGCTGCGTGTAAACCAGCACGGAATGGCAATTTTGCCGTCTCCACTGCTAGTTTTACTGACATCGGGACGTGAATCCAAACAGCCTATTATCCACAATAAAACCAGACTTAAAATCACACCGGAAACAGAAAAGACTGTATGAGTGTTGTGTGAGGCTGCATGTTTAAGAATAACCTGTGATTCGTAAGTGTAACTTGGGAGTGAAAGCTCAACATCATCAATTACTTCATTGTTTTTTCTTCGGATACGAAGAAATCCAAACCACTTTGTTGTCACTCTACATGCATGACTTTGTGGTGTTGGCTTATTACTTTGGTTCTTTTCGTAAGCCTGCAACATGAACTTGGTAATGAATTTTACACAAAGATGCACAACTATTAAACAACAGAGCCACAGTTATACTTACAGTGTCACCACCAGTTACTTTAATATCAGTGTAATCCCGAGTCCTGGTGTAGTAATCCACGTCTACTAGTTCACACAAAGCTACCTTTTCTTTTATATCCAGACTCGTGCCCAGATAGTTCCTTCCTTGGTTCATATAAATAGCTCCTTCATATACGTGGAAAAAGGCTTTGCTTTCCTCGATTTCATCGAGAAGATCTTTACTCTTTTTTTCCATGACTCTGTATCTTACTGTCTCTATGGCCCGTATAGAGACAATCTTCGTAGGCTTTTTCTGAGAAAATGTTGACCAGCAAAGGAATTTAGAGCAATGAAACTCGGTTTCGGGTTGTATTTTTCAAAGTTATTGCTCAGATATATACCTCTCGACCAATATAGTTCCATATTCTAGAAGAAGAATCACGGGATGGATCAAAACTCAAGAATCCTTCCTTCCTGAGCTCAGCAAGAGCGCCGCTTATGCCAGAACCAAAGTGCTGTTCATCATACTGTAAGCTCAACGGATGCTCAAGAGCAGCACAAGCCAAATGCTGCGAAAGGACCTACAAGAAGAAAAGTATCAAAGCAAGTCGGTATAATCTCAGCTAGAGTATTAAGTATTAACAGTTGGCATAAGAACCCAAACAGTATACTACTAACATGCTTATTTTGAGAATCAATATGGCAACACTCAATTGAGCTACCAAAGAGTTTGTCCGGAAAACTCATGTAGTATTGGTCAAGCGGACCGAGAAAGGCAACATATACAGCAAGAGAGGGCTTTTGTCGTCTTCCAGACCGGCCGGCTTGCTGCCAAAGACTGAAACTCAAAAGTGATCAGTTATTGTCAGCTGCAGCTTATAGAATTTCAGTTCTAAGAGGGAAAAGAAAAGAGCAAATCACATTGATTTACCTGGCAATACTGCCGGGAAAACCTAAATGAAGAGTTACATCGATGTGACCAACATCAATCCCCAACTCAAGTGCGTTTGTTGCAGCAATACCACAAAGCTTTCCACCGAATAAATCGCTCTCTATTTTCCTCCGATCCTGCAAAATATGGAAAACATCGATCTGGTAAAACCAATTCATCTACAAACAACACCAAAGTTCAGACTCATATATACAGAAAATGTACCTCAGCAATGTAGCCTCCACGATATGAGGTTATGGCTTCAACCAGATGAGGGGCAGTCTCAGCTAGAATTTCACGTCTGCAGCATATTTTACGGATCTTAAACTCCACATAATTTAATCATACACTCTAGCGTGAACATTTTGTTTCTATCAGCGATTAACAAGAGGACTTACGTCAAACACAGAACAAGTTCACAGAGTTTGCGAGATGGACAAAAAACAATGCAACGTAATCCATGCTGAACCATCTCTGCAAAAAGGTGTGAAACTTCAGAAGCTGGGCTGTAAAGAAATGAAATGATATTTAATGTCAGCTAAAGATTGATGACAATAAATTTTGATTTCTTGTAAGGCAAATGACTAAAAATACCCTGATGGTGTATCGGCGGCAGTAGCTCCAGATGGTTTATCTGCAGCAGCTTCACTACTACTCACGACTTTCGAACTTTCTTCAGGTTTCTGTAATACAACAGATTAAGGAAACAAAAAGTAAATAAAGTTTCCGAATTGGTTCAAAAATAAATCTAGGAAACTGAACCATACAATTGCTGGAGGAGCTGATGGATTCCACAAGACAA